CAAAAACAGTAGTGAAATAATTTATGGGACTCTAAAGGATGCCAAGGCAGGCACCGCAGAGCATCCAGCACCACGTCCTCGTCACTGTCTTTTATTTTTGTTTGTGGTTCTGCTGTCACAACATAACCTTTGCAAGCTCCCATCCACTCGAAGTGAAGTGTAATCTAATTAGTCCAATTTGGATTGCTTCTATTTGAATAATTTAGCGTACACCTGCAGTATTCATCAATCATTATTATTTTTAATTAAGTAATTAACTCGCAGGTTTTCAGAAAGTTTGGAGTGACAAAATTTCCATGGTTGAAGTCTGGAGTGAGACGGAGCAAGTGGTTCTTTCTGCACTGGCAAACACTGGTGTTACTGATAATTGGTGTGAGCAGCCACAAGTGCTGATGATTTCCTGAAGAATTTACTTCTTTAATGGCAAACCAGAAATCACACGCCTGCTGTACAACAGGCCTAATTAGTGTGTATACGGTCGAGTTTTCACCTGCAGCTCCTCCATCACCCAACCTCACCTCTAAGGACTGGCTCCCTTTGATGATAATTGTCATTACACTTCGTCAAAGTCATTAGCTTTTAAAGAAAAGAGCAGTTTGGAAAGACCCGGGAGCAGGCGGTGCTGGGGCCGAGGGCTGCGGAGACATCAGAGGGTTTGGCTGGGACCCTGCTGGGAGCTGTAGGTTTGCCTGGGTGGGAGTGTTGTATTCCCGGCTGGAGGCATAAACAGCTCCCACTTTGCTTCTCAAGTTCACTGAAAGAGCCAAAAAATCTTTAAAGCTTGCAAATGAAAAAAAAAAAAAAAAACACAAAAAAAACAACCAAAGAAAAACCAGAGATCAGGCTATAATGTGCTAGAGCATGCTGGATTGCGTGGTGACAACAGGGCTGCTGCATTACAAGGGAGATCTGCCATCATAAGAACCAGAAAAAAAGGTTGTTTACACTGTGACTCTCACCTTTTTAAAAAAAAAAATTGCAAAGAATATCTTCACACCTGTACTTTGGTTTTCAGTAAAAATAAGTAATTATTATGCTGATGAATTTCACAGCTTCATTAAAGAAACCTGATTTTAGGATAGCGCCTGCAAGCTCCCCCCGCGGCGTGCCCCCGCGGCGGGGGCTCGTGGGGGGTTTAGCGGAGCTGTCTGTCCGTACAGGGCAGCTGGAGGAGACGCAGCGAGTCCTTGGGCTCCCTGGCACCCGTCTCTGCCAGCTGGGGCTTCATCCCAGCAGGATCAGCCCCTGCTTTTCCCTGGGCGCCCCAGGAAGGTGCCCTGGCGCAGCCCACGCGGGTGGGAGGCACCCGGCTCTCCGGCGCAGGAGGGACCCCGGGGCTCCTGCCTGCAGCTGAGCTCCCACTACAGAGCTCTCATCCCAGCCTCCAGCAGCCGCTTGATTTCTCCCATGAAATCCAAGCTGTACAGGCAGTTCAATCACCGGCAGCACAGCCGTAGGTACTCCCTTACAGAAACATGAGCCTTTTTAAGCTTTTTAGTTATTACTTGGCACCTACTGAAAGAATTACTGTCTAAAATGCAAATTAGTCCATCCTGGCTTGTTAGTAGCTCGCATATTCTGCCTCTGCTGCGGCAAACCCACAGGTAAGGAGGGAGATGCTCTGCCAGAAGCTCTGTGAAAACAGCCCCATAAAGGCAAGGCATGGGACAGGGTCCTCATGCAGCATCCCTGCCCCTGCCCAGGGCTTTTAGTGATGGCTGTGGACACCCAAAGCAGCTGAGATGAAGCCTCTTGCAAACACCCCCTTGTCTCCCCGATGCTCACGATGGACCACCTACCCATCTCCAGCATCATCTCCAGAGAACCGAAGCCAGGAGCCGTGCCCAGCACCCAGCACCACCCTGCCCTAACAGCAGCCTCAGGAGGGAAATCCCAGCCAGTGGCTGGTCCCAGCCACAGTGACGGCAGCTCATCGCCCCACACAGCCCTGCCCCACGCCTGCTCCCAGCCCCTGCTCCATCCTTCCCTGCACCGCAGCAGGCAGCTGCGCCAGGGGACTCTCATATCGGGACAAGCATGAACGCGCCTGCATGCATGATGAGTGAAGAGACCAGAGCTTGTTTTTAAGCTCTCCAGGACTGACTCTAAGTTGGAAATTTATCTCTCGCTTCTCGCTATGACTCAGTTTCTGCTGTGGCCCAAGGAGACCAGGCGGCTGGGTCTAGCCTGTCAAGCTCAGGGTGTCAGCATAGCAGCTGAGAAACGAGGAGCTGTTGCAGGCTGGGATCCAGATTTTATTGGAAGAGGAGCCACAGTTCCATGGAGGAAATCCAGTACATGCAACCAGAGCAAAGACAGAGACAACCAGGGCCAAGTACTACCCCCGGCGTTAGAAAACATGCCTCCCTTGCTGCGATGGCACCAGGCTTGGAAAGTGTTCAAAACCCATTCTTCTTACAAAATTCATAAGGCAGAGCCATCTGCCTGGCAGCCAGCTCTCCAGCTCCCATCCGTGCTTCTTGCTGGATTTTCCCTGCTGCCTGTGAATGGCATGAGTCTGCCTCCCAACTGCCCAAAGCTGGGTCAAAAATGAGGGAAGGATGAAAATAGCTGTCCTGAGCCTGGCTGAAGGTGCGGCGACGGCGGGACAGGATTTTCAAGTGCCTCCGCCACTGATAAATACGAGCTGTGAGAATAAAATACCTTATATACAGGCACCAGCTCTTAGGACCCTTAGGAATCAAGATGGGATTTCTAACCCAATCTGTACAATGAATTTGTCCCTTCAATGCATCACTTAAACCCTGACAGTGCGTGGCAAGTCCACAACCTCACAACTGTTTATTTAAATAAATATAAAAAAAATTTGTTAGGTGCAGACCATGATTTAAGTAATCTTAAGTGAATAATTCATGCAGTATTTATAATTGATGGGGGATTTAACAGGAGCAGAGCCGTAAGTGGCTTTCTATTAACTATTGATGCTCTCCACCAGCCTCTCGACAAGCACGGCTGGGCTCTGCGATCACAGCTCTCCCGCGATGTTTTATTTAAGTGCTGTTAAGAGTACACATAATCTGGGGGAATGCCTCTGCTCCCAGGGAACGCCGCAGCAGCCCCTGGCTCCCAACGTGGCCATGCCACCGTGGGCTCACGGAGCCCTGGTTCCCGCGGAGCCATCACCCTGACCAGTCGCCTCATGGCGGTGGGGAGAAACCCAGGGCTGATGTGATGTGTCTGGAGGAGCTCACACACTGCGGGGCTTGCCTGGCTCCTTCCTCCTGCCCCCGCCGCAGCAGATGCCAGATAACCCCAAATGTCTGGGTGTCCGGATAAACCCAGACCCCTCAGTATTGGCTTGTGAGTCCATCTGTTTATGGGTTTTTGTGACTTATTCCAGGGATGTGCCTCTAAAATCCCTTTCAGTCTTTTTGCAGACTTCATTTGTGAGAACAGAAGCGTGATAAGAAGGCCAAGTATCTTGCTATACACATCATTCACATCCCCATATGAAACATTCAAAAAGCTTCTAAAAATATATGCATAAATACAAAAATACAGTTAAAAGAACCCACCCGTATCCTAACAGACAGCGCATCTGTGTTCCAAAACATCGCGTTTCTAACAAAGCTGCAATAAACACACAGTTATCATAGCAACTGAAGCCGTGTCTCGCTTGGCGCCCACAGGGAAAGCAGCAGGATCTGGCCCCGCAGTGGGTTGCTGCAAGCCCAGCGGGCAGCCCTGCTGCCCGGGATGCTGCCCAGCATGCCCGGGGCTGCAGGCACACAGGGTACACCCAGCAGAGCCTCTCATTTTAAAATCTCATGACTCTGAAGAGCATCGATGGCTGCACAACTCCAACCTAGAGGGGAGACTCGTTTTGTGCCCCGGGGGAGGGTGTCCCAGCAGCCAGAGCCGTGTGTGAGCACGTAGGATTCAGGCTGGCAGAGCAACGACAAAGCCTGTGCACGGTGCAGGCAGGGGTTGTGGAATAATTCACACTAAAGCACCATTCCCTTCAGAAAGGCTGGCAGCCTCAGGGCAAAATAAATGCTGAAATCTCCTTGATTGTTAAATAAAAGATTATTGATAAAATAACTGCTTCTAATGTGGCTCCGCTGCCAGCAGAAATGCAATATCTTTCAATTATTGCTTGGAAGCAAGGCTTTCCTTTTGTTTACTGGAGAAAAACAACATGAAAAGAGATGCTCGTAAAAGACTGTAAAATGAAGGTGAATCTGTTTTCGCTGTACTCCAAATCTGGTTGGGGTTTTGCACACGCACAGCAGGTTAGCTGCTTGTTGGCACTGTCTGATGACACCGCGCCACACGGGGGTTATTTGGCAAAGCCAGGAGCACCGCAAGGAGCTGGCGCTTGGGCTGAGCCCCAGCACACCGAGCCATGCGACCGGCTTTCGGCACATGGCGAGCTGGCAGGAGGACAGGGCATTTCCCCTGCGCGGGGGGAACGCACAGCACTGCTGCGGTTCTGCCCGACACGAAGAAAACCAGCACAAGGTGGTGCGGGAATGACCTGAGCAACTTCTCAGCATTTCTCAGAGCTGAGCAGGCAAAGCAATCTCCCTCCTGGAACAAACTTCCCTGGACAAAAGAGGGACTGCCCAGGCTGCCAGCCCAGCCACGGAGGAACAAAACACGAGGTGCCTCGATAACAGCTTCAGGTCAATGGTTTGGGGCTGCAGAGGGATGCAAAAGTAATTTGCTACCCCTCCGAGCGCTCCTCAGCTCCGCTCGCCAAAGCCGAGCCCAACACCCCAACATTAGCAAGACCCAGGGAAGCTGTGGGGAGCAGCCCGGGAAACACGGCTTACCTGCGTGGGGGCCAGCTAACAGCAAATTGGCCAGCTCCATCTCCAAACACAGAGCACACAAAGCATCATACAGAAAATTACTTTTCTGGGACCCTCATGCCAATTGGCAGGTTACGGAGGGGTAACCTGCAGCAGCAGCAGCAGCAACCCTCCCCTCCCCGTGGCCCTGGGGCCATGCAAGCTGCGGGGGCAGCACCCCCTTACCAGCTCCACACGCCGACGGCTGGACTCCAGCTCCCTCTGCACCAGCTCGTCCATGTCAGCCTTCATCTCCTCCATCCTCTTCTGGTAGTACCTGGTGCTCTCCTTCTCCCGCGCCTCTGACTCGGCCGCCTTCTCCAGCTCCTCGCCCATCTTTATGATGCTGTCTCGCAAGCGCAGTACCAGCACCTGGGGAGGAGGGTGTGAGGTGAAGCAAGGGAGATGGAGGCGAGGAGTTATGAAGCTCTCCACGAGCATCAAGCGATGTGGACAGCACTCCCTCCCCGACTCACGCCACAGAGCCAGTCACTATTATTCTAATTATCAAGCATCACCCTGAAGCCTTGCAAGTGGCGGCAGCTGCCTGCAGTGGGTGCAGACCCCAGTGTCCCCAGCCCATCCCTGGGCCCACCTCTGCACCCACCACAACAGGTAGCACCATCCCCCAGGACCTCATCATATCCCCCGGGGCTCCCACAGAGCCGGCTGCTGCTTTGGGGGCACAAGAGCATTCTCCTTCGCCCCCAGGCTGGGTTCGTTCGGGCAGCACGACTCGGGGAAAAGCGACAGTAAAAACATATCGCGGGGTGCCAGTAGATGTGCTGATTAACGGCACCAGTGAAATATTGCCATCGAGCCTGACGTCCTGACTTCTGGACGATGCCAGAGCAGAGGGATGCCTGTCAGAAAGGTGCTGTGATAGATGTGCTGAGCAGTCAGCACACACCGTGCTCTGTGTCCAGACAGGGACTATATATTCCTCCAGGTGTTTATAGCACTGGGCCCACTGTTGGCTTTCAACAACCACCACGGTGAAGCAGGTATAGACAGTGGCAGTGGCATGAACTATACGGACTGCCCACAAGCACAGGAGAGCTGGCCAAAGACCCCCCCTGTCCCTCCCCACCCCTTCCCGGGTGCTTCTTCCCCCAAAGCCGAGGCGGTGGCATCACTGCGCCCGCCTTTTCCAAGCAAGCTGCATCTCCCCGGGACTCCGCATCCCCTCTGCGAGCGGTGAAAAGGTGGTACCTCAAAGCGCTTCATCTGCACAGCCTGGAAGTCCAGCTGGCTCTCCAGGTCGCGGATGCGGGCTTCCTGCCGGCTGATGATGGAGCGCTCGGCTGGGCACTGCTCCAGGTGCACTGCTCTTGCCTGCGCTGCGTGCAGCTGGGAGAGGATGGGCTGCATTAGCACTTCCCCGGCCCCTGACCCATGCGAACACCTCCCAGTCCCTTTTGCAGATCCCCCACCAGTCCCTCGCTTTGGTGTGACGTGCACCAAGGACTTCTTATGGCCCCTGAGGTGACAGGCCGCTATGGAAAAGCATTGCCTTTGGTTTCCTGAAGGATTCCCTGCTGTTAATACCACACAATAAATGCATGGCACGAACATGTATGTTTGAATGAAAAACGTGCTGGCAAGATGATACATGTCTGGGTCTCTTTTGCTTTTCTCTTCTCGCAGACTCCTTGAGGACAGCAGGCATGAAAATTCACAATTTTTCCCCGTGTGGAAAGCTGCCTGGACCGAGTTGTTTCTTCAGCCGTTACACTGAGATCTCCAAAGCAAACTGCCCTTTTAGTGATCCCGGTACAAGTTTGGTTCAGGTTTTGTATTTGACCTAGAACTACAGGAATTTGTCTTCTTTTATCTGGCCTATCTCTAAAGCACCACCTGCTCCACCTCGGAGGGAGCGAGTCCTGCTTCTGATTCCTGGGCAGCTTAGCTATGCTCCAGTAAAGCACTTAAATTAATGGGATTACTCATGTGTTGAAAATTAAATCCATGCACTCCAGGAGGGCCGGTGCAGCCGCAGAGGCAAGGCAGCGGAGCACCCACCGGCACCCACCCCAGGGTCAGCCCCACGCTGGCCACGGCACCAGCAGCTCAGGAAGGGAGGAGAGAGAAGTGGGGCTCTCCATCCCGAGACCCTTGCCAGGGAAAGCTTTGCCCAGCCCAAAGCCATTGCTGGCAGAGCCCCGCAGCCTTTCCTGGCCCCATCCTGCCCGTAGGGTCAGGGCTGTGGGCATGCAGCAGGCAGACAGTGGCTTCTGCACCATGCTGCTCTCAGGCATGCACAGCGCATCAGGAAGAGGGGAGGAACCTGACCGTTTTACAAAGGAGAAATGGCTTGGTACCACCAGTGTAGACTTGGACTAATTTCAGACAAGAACATGGCATCTATAAGTGACACCGGTGATGCACCGGGCACAGACATCAGAGGATACCCGGATGGCTCTCGCTTCTCAGCTCTGGGTGCTACGGGCTGGGGAGGAATTACCTTCTCCTGAAGGCTCTGCTTTTCTTTCTTCACATCTTCCACCTGTGTCTGCAGCTCCCGGATCTGAGCGATATCCGTTGCCGACTGTGGAAAAATTAAGCGCAGCAGTGGGAGCAGACCCGAGGCCTCAGAGCAGCAGGCACACGCTGTGAAGAGCATGGTGCCGAAGGCTGGCTCATGCCTGCACCTCCTGCCACCAAAACAGCGAGTCACTCCTGCACTGGACTGAAGGAGCTTAATTCTCCCGACTCAATGCAACTTTCCTCATTTTTGAAACAAATATTTGTAGATCAGGAAAGAAACCATATTGTCAAGGTCATTTCTGTTCTCAGGGTCCTTTCAGATACAGACTCCCAGCTCCGTAACACGACTGCAAGGGGCACCAGACTGTGAATTGTCAGTCTCGCCAGCCTACCCCTGCTCCACTGGGAGCCTTGGGGTCCCTCAGCTCCAAGTACAATCCTTTGGGAGAGCCTGCCTTAGTCTGGATATTGCACAGAAAGCCCCAGGGCTGTCTGTCAGCACTTTTTAAGCTCTGCATGAGAAAACAGCGAAGGAAAGAATAGAAAAGGATCCAGACGGGGATGCTGTAGGATTTCCCAACTATTGAAATAAAAGCCAAGACATCTCTTGAAAGACGACTCAAAACTACGGGTGAGAGGAGCTGGAGCCGTGAGCCATCCTTTCCTCTCATCACAGCATCTGCTTCCTGGGGTCCCTGCCCTGCTGAGCACCGATGGGGACTCCTGCTTGCTCTCAGACAGGCTGCAGGTTTTCCCAAGCACCCTCCCAGGGAGGGAGATGTTGTCCAGCCTCCACTGCCCTGGCTCCTACCTGGGCAATCAGAGCCTTGTGCTTTTCCATGAGCTCGTTCAGGTCTTCCTGGTCCTCATCGATGCGTTTCAGGAGGTCGGCTCTCTCGTGCTGCAGCTGGTACAGCTGCTCGTCCACCTGCGGGAGGACCCACAGGGCCGCTGGCTCGCACATCCCATGGGGGACCCACGGCACAGCACCGCCCGGACAATTGGGAATGTGCTGCCGCCAGCCTCCAACCCCATGCTTGCACCGGGAGAGGCAAAGGGAGCTCCCGCGTATCTGCAGAGGGGGACTACAGCGTGCTGTGCCCTTCTAGTAATTTCATCCATCCATTAAACCACCTGGGGGCTCTTGTTCCCAAGGAGGCTGGGTGATTTAGTAAATATGTTTGGTGATTTAGTAAATATGTTTGGTGATTTAGTAAATACGCTGATTATTGCTGATTTAGTAAAAAAGCTGATTATTGCTGTCAAACACAAGGAGGTAGGACTGCACTGCTGCCCTCCCACCTCCCCTGTCCCAGCTGCGTCTCCACGAACGCACCAGGGTCTTGTTTCTGCTGAGGGTCTCCAGCTCTGTATGTAAGTTCTCCAGCTCCAGGGCCGCTGTCTGCTGGGACTTCTGGACCTCTGCGCACTTTGCTTCGCTCTCTTCCAACTGGGAAAAATTGGGGAAGATCATCATTAAAGGAGCAGAAACCACGTGCTGATTATGCTGTTCCCCTTGCCACACAGCCACGTCTATTTACACTTCACCCCCAGAGTATTTTCCCCTGCTAATGCACATGGAAACTCGACCTTTTAAAATCTGTGCTGCTCTTCAGCCCGTCTGCTCCTGCTTTACAGTGAAAACTTTTCCCTTCCCAGCTGGTGCAGCAGGGCGTCCTTGCCAGCTCCCGGCACACCTAACTGTGGATCCTAACACCACTGACTGTCCTGTTGAGTGCTGAAGCAAGCGCCTCGAACTGCACATCCCTCCTCTGCCTTGGCACTGCCGTGGTGAGGTAGAGCCGGCATCATTAATTTGCAAAATTATGTGAATTACATGTAATTTCTGATTAGAGCAATTCATGATTCAGAGTTTGCAAATGGGCTTTTCATGTGGCATAAATTGCATTTGCAAATATACATGAAATATCACATTTATAAATGCTAATTTGCTCTTGGTTTTTATAGCTCAGCCATTAAGACTACAATGATCTTAAATGGGCTGCAAACATCTGGAAGATGCAGCGTCATCCCAAAAACTCACACCGCCAGGACGGAGGAGTTTACGTAGGCTGTACCTGAACATCCAGTTCCTTCCCTTGCTCGCTTGGGTTTCTTTTCCTTATGAAAAAGAAAACTAAACCCCTCCGCTTGCCACTCAGTTCCCGTGCCTGGTCCCTGTTCCCCTGCAGAGGATGCAGAGCTTCCAGGGGCAACAGGAGCCACTGCACACCACGGCGAGAGTTTGAGCATTTTAGGCTATTTTCTCAAGGTTTACTTGTCTTTTTTTAACTCTCTCCCTCAAAAAAGGGGGGGGATTATGAAGTACTATAACTGGAGCAATCCTCAGCTCATTTCCCTCAACGATTTGGTGTGATTGAGACCTACTTGGAAAAGTTGAGCAGGTAATTTGCTTCCTCAGTGCCTAATCTGCAGAGGAAATGGCAGGCGTTTCTCCCTTAAAGTCCATGATTCTTTTTATATACCTGGCACACTATGATCTCTGAACGGCCGCTGCCCAGCCCTGCCCAGCTGCCCGCCTTCCTTGCCAGCCACCCGCCATAAGGGAGAGCCCCGCGCTTGGGGGGGACGCAGCACACCGGCCCCCAGGGGCTGGCCACGCACGGAGGGTGACCAAACGCTGCCACTGCAGCCAGCAGCAATGGAAACCTTTCCCCCCTCCATCCCAGGGCCAGAGCAGTGGCCTTTCTGGTGTACATGGAAACATCGGGGGGTTGTGATCTTCAGCCTCCACATTCCTGCCTAAATTGCATCCCCTTCTCACTATTTTTAACTCCTTCGGTGAGAAAATCTCTGCTCCTAGGACCACTGTTTCCATCTCTGCGCCTTTCTGTCACCCCTGCCTGAACCAAGGAACAGACAGAAAGAAATAAACCCAGACATCTTTGGGTCTCCAGCTACAGTGCCCACCAGAAGCTGCTCACTGTGGGAAATACAAAGCTCTGGCACAGAGACAGTTAGCAGTTTGAATCCTGCAAAACCATTATTTAAAATGATGTGCCCGTGTCCAAACTCAGCCCGTGTTGATGGATTGTCTAGTCGGTCTATTCATACATCTGCAGAGCCACGATCACAGCAACACGCGCTGTGTTCCCCTTTCTTCCACCAGGTGAAAAATAGCCTTTGTGTTTTGCATAAAGCTCAGGCAGCCGTTACCGAAATGACCCGAGCGATAGCTGCTGGGAGGTGTTAAAGATGCCAATCGGACTCACTGCTGGTTTTATGGCCAAGGGTTTTTCCACCTGCCCAGCTTTGGGCTTCTCCAGAAGCAACCCTGTCCACAACCAGCCACTGGGACTGCCTTTCCCCTGCCACAATTACACTAAAAGTCCAGATATTTTAATCAGAGAGAAACACATCTCCAGGACCTCTCATTAAATACCAGCCTCCATTTCACTTCATGTAATGGAATTTTCCCACTTGGGAAGAATAAATTGAAATCCCCCCCCTCGCCCAAAAATGCATAATGTATGAACTTCTGAACAACATTAGTTTCCTGTGCTACACCATCTGTTAAATACCTGCGTAAAATGGATGCTTCAGCCTTATTAAGAAACAATGCTATACTTCTAGCCATATGGATTTTGATTAACAGAAATGTAGCATTTTAGCAAAGTTTTTATTCTTGTGGTGGTTTGTGGGCTGGTGGTAGGATGTATTGGCTTTTGAGAAAGTCGTCATGAATGCCATTAGAAATCGTTTAAATTTAAAGGACGGAATAATCATGAGGCATTTTTAATGCACGCAGAATCTCGGTGTTGATGGCGCAGCAAAAACTCAATATTCCCAATATTAAGGCTTTCCGCTCTCCTCCAAGGTGGGCAGAGGCCACCCACTGCAGGAGCCGGGAAGGAGCAGAGGACAGACCGTATGGCACCGCAGCCACAGGCAAGAGAAAGCAACCTCCTGCACGAGCCTGCCTTGCTGCGGGCAGCGGGCTGCTCGGGGAACAAGGCATTATTCCCCTAGCAAGATCGGGCTGGACGCCACTGGGACGGCCACACTCGCCAGGCAGTGTAAGCATCCCGGCATCGCCGCTTCGTCCCTCAGATCGGCATGTGGAAGGGGTCCCTCAGCATCAGCCCACTGCAGCAAGCTCCAGTGCTGAGCGTAGCTCCCAGCCCCATTAAGAGCACTGGGGGCTGGGAAAGAGCAAGGCAGGGGCTGTGCATCATTTCCAGCCCCCAAGCAGGATTTGGGAAATACTGAGGGATTAGTTGTTAAGCGTAGCATTACAGCATTAGCTCAATAATGTGTAAGAGAGAATGCACGAGTGCTAAAAGATGGCCATTCCTGCTGCCTGCCCCGGCTATGGCCATCCTGGCCCTGGCTGTCCAGGTCAGTGGCACAGGCACGGGCAGGGACATGAGTATGGGCATGGGCACGGACGTGGGCATGAGCAGGTGCTCCATCGGCCACGTCAGGCCGAGCTCACCTTCCCCTTCTCCCTCGGCACAGGTGGGAACAGCTGCTGCTCACAGATGTTATTTATGCAGAACTATTATCTCAATTATATATGTATGTTGTTGGAATCGCTCATGCCTCCCTATTAGTTTGTTTCCAGGGGAAACGTACAGTACAGATTAATTACTGAGCAGTTTCGGAGGACTGGCATCGTTAGCTCAGCCCCGGTGCTCGACATCGCAGGATGCATGTGCAGGGCCAGCCTGCGGATGGACAGCCCCGTGCCACCCCTGTCCCATGGCAGGGCACCCCGCAGACCCTGAGCTCACCCCAGGGCTGAGGCCGTCCCTGGCCACCGGCACGGTGGGCACAAATGTGGTACCCGTCTGCAGCCGCTCGCTGGGTCGCTCAGTGCCAGCTGTGAACTGCACTGAAACTACGGCAAATCCGCTGCAATCCCTACTCCTGCCTTACAGCATCCCTATGGCAACACGTCCTGAACCCAGTGCCGCTGGAGCTCCTTATTAGACAGATAGAAAACGTGCTGAACAGAAGGTAATTAACAGGGCTGCAGGAAAAAAAAGGAAAAAATACTTAACCGCTGTTGGCTTAATTACAGAGAAGTGCTCCTTACAAGGAGACCCTCCTCAGCACAAGAAGCACTTCTCACCCTGGCCTAGGCATCACGATGCTCGTACAGCACGGGGTCACCGCTTGCCCCATGCACAATTAAAACCAGATCTATTTCTTGCAGCTTCCCCTCGGCCGAGGTAAAGGGTGGTGATGCTCCAAGGAGCAGGGAGATGCCCTCTCATCTGACGTCACCTACCTGCTTGCGCAGCCGCTCCAGCTCCTGGGTGCTGGCACCGGGCTCCCCGGGGGCTGCCAGCAGCAGCTGCACGTCGGCGAGCAGGGCACGCGTCCGCCGCAGGTCCCGCCGCAGCCGCTTCTCCACGTCGAAGTCACGGTGGCCAATCTGGGGAGGGGAGAGGGGGTGTCCTGAGCCCTGCCGCCCCGCAAAACCACCGTCAGACCTTTCTGTCCCACCCCAAGGCGTTCCCCACAAAATTTGGGAGTAGGGAAATATTTTGGTAATGCTGAAGTCATGACGCAAGACGATATGAAATATCTATATATAAATATTACAGTTTCCCCCTCTTTATCAGATAAAAATAATTTAATAGTTAAATAAAAGGGAGAAAATAAATTATGTAAACATCAAAACTGTCAGATTCCACCAAAACACCACAATTGTTCCCCACCGGAAAGCTGTTCCTCTGAAAACATCAGCCCACCCTTGGTCTCCATCAGCCACGTGCCTGCCCAGTGAGCCATCCTTGTGGCCAGAGGGACAGCCTGGCCACACAACCCGGGGGCACAGGTGGGCTCTGTGGGTCCCCAGAGCCATAGCACCCGGTCCTCGTGGCCACTGGGCACTGTCACCTGCCCTGGGACACCACCCTGGCCGAGGGGTAGGGTCAGAGAGAGGCAGACCCAGAAGATGCACGTCCAGCGTCTCTGCCAAGACCTGGCACAGAAAATGCAAAAGTCATTGCGTGAAAGAAAAAAAGCCAGAAAAACCCTTCTGCCCCTTTGGGGAAAAGAGTGACAAAGGCAGGAGAAAGTCAGCCCAAAGGGGAAAGGGAAAAAAATGCGAAATGCTGATGAGAAAAGCTTCATCAGGAGTTATTTACGCATCTCTAATGCAAAGCATCTGGAGTCCCCGTCAGCCGCAGAGGGACGTAACCGATGCTGCCGCCTTCAGTGCGGGAGGCAACAATCTCTCGCGCACGAATCCCCAGCAATGCTGGTGGAAAACAACTGCTGGGTGATTTTGGAGGCTCATCCCTGGGCAGTGTGGAGTCACCGCATCACCCTGAAGCCTTTTAAAGAAGGGAAGTAGGAAACACTTTAAAAAAACCCCCCTCCCCCCCCCCCCCCCCGCCCCAAGCTGAGAGCAACCATGGTTACAGGGATAAAAGAACTAGAAAAACACCAAATAAACAGGGACATGGTTTCAGTGCTTGATTTCAGACTAATTGAAGTAAAGAGCATTTTCCATTTATTCTGTTTTCCATGGCTCTTCTTGTTTCAAATCTGTTCTCCTATTTTCTGTTCACTGGCTAAAATTAATTGTGCGGATTTGACCTTGTAACCTGGTTTAGAGCTGGCTGGCATTTGCTGGAACCAGAAATCGTTGGCATCTCCATTTCCTTAATTAGTTTTCTGGGTTGGCTTTTTTTTTCTTTTTTAATAAACTGCTCTGAAACACACTGTCCACTGTAAATCAGACGGCATTTATAATAACCCTGCAGTGGAGCAGATTTGCTGTTATCCCTGCCGTCCCTCCAGACCGTATCTTGGATGCCGTTCAGCACCTTTCTCCCGTAGCTCAGGATCTGCCCGCTGCCACAGAGGATGGATTTTGTATAGTAGCTGGAAGCAGCAGGTATGGCAGCCACCGCTGCCTCCTCCCACCATTGCAGCCCAGTGCTTTTTAAGTTACGAAGCTGGGATTTCATTTAACAGCTGCTTTCAAGGCTCCGGTCATATTTCTCACACACTATAGCAATACCCAGATACACTATGCCATCTCCTCTTCCCCTCTTGGCAGGGGCCAGGGACTGCCGGGGCAGTGCCTGGGGACAGTCCCAGGAAGGAGAAGGTGCCTTTCCCTGAGAGTCCCCCCGGCTTTGCTCCATGCAGCTCCTGCTGCCTCCTCATCCATCTTAGTTCTCCTCCACTGAACAAGAGGGATTGAGAGGCAGTTATAATAATACCCTGCTTTTATACAGCAAGATTTATTCTGACAGTTCCCAAAACATTTTATAAGCTGGGAGCCGGGGGGACGTTATGGATAAGCCTCGTCAGACCATTTTGTGCCTACTTGAAATATGCCCACCATTTCAGAGTTGCAAAGCTCCCAGACTCATCCTGTTTAATGAACACATGCAATCACCAAGCCTGGTGAAAGGGTGAAATTCAGCCGGCTTGCGCTAATGGCTGGAGGATGCGCTGCTTAATTACTGCAACTCCAGATAATCAGTTCCTCCTCTCCTGCACGTGCAGGAGTTGCAATGCGACGGGGGCTCTGCCAGGGTGGTTGGGAAGCATCAGCACAAACCCAGCCTGGCTGAGCTCTGGGGAGCCTTGGGGTGCAGCAGCACTGAGATGGCAACTCTGAAGGCACTAGACTGATGCCATCCTTGGCCCTGGCAGCACCGTGGCCCCGGAGAAGTGCCAGCTGGCACCTCATTTGGTCACCAGAGCTCCTTCAGCAGGAGCTGGTGCACGAGACAGCCTCTGGGCCTGGCTGCTCAGCGACGCTAAGTGATGTCCAAGCCGATAAATGCTGCTCAATGAGGCTGCGTTCAGCCCCTCGCCTTCTAATTTAACAGGGAGCAGCTGTGTGTGCTTTTCCCATTACGTGCACTTCAATCACTGCCACAGACACATTGGAGAGTGAAAAAGGATTTGTTCAACAAATGTGTTTGGGATAGAATTCCTGTGCAAAGAGCAGAATCCGATAAACTCCTTTTCTGGGCAGTTGGAGCTGCTCCAACATTAGTCCTGGTTAGTTTGACGCTCATGAAAATACCAGCAAAAAGCAGATGCCTCCCCCACTTAGATAATTCTCCTGTACAAAAGCGAACAGTTCCCCTCCATGGGTCCTTAGGGGGACCGGCTGTCTCCTATATGATGCCTGCAGTCCCAAAACCCTCCTGGCACCCAGTGCCTGCTGTGGCACATGCCGCTGCTCTGGTGAGTGTTGTTTGGAAGAGGCGAGGGGTGGAGGACATTGCGGCTGGCTGCATGTGCATGAATAACCAAGCTGTTGCCCTGTCCGCACACATGCATGCATTCACACTCCCTTTTTTACAGGCAGTGTTTTGTGCTGGGGCACGGCCAGCGAAGTGGTTTGGCTGGCCAGGAGGTAGCAGCAAGGAGAGCGGGGCACCATGCTCTTACCTGCTCGCACAGGGTGCCAACGAGCCCCTCCAGGTCTTGCTTCTCGTGCAGCACCATCTGCTTCTCCTCGTACTCCTGTTCCAGCTGCATCTCCAGCTGCCGGAGCTGTGTAGGGGGAGACAACCCCAGCCATGCTCAGAGCCCAGCTGCTCCCTGCCAAAGCCCCACATCCTGGCAGGGCACAGCCACCGCCGCAGCGGGGACCCGGGCAGCCCCCGGGAGAGGGTGCGTGCTGAAGCCTCCCATCACCGCAGCCGGCGCTGGGGACCAGGAATGGGCTGCATCCCCTGGAGCAACTGCTACCCCCAGGCAGCGCAACTGCTCCTGGCCAGGAGGAGCAAGGGGAAGCAGTCCAGGAGCCTGCAGGACTTTTGGGGACATGATGGGCTCTTTGAGCCCACCCCACCTGCGAGGCATGCTCAGAGGTCCCCGAGGGCTGTCCCTGCAGCTCTGGAGCAGTAACACAGGGTATTCAGCCGAGCTAGAAGAGGGGCCAGCGGTAATCCCTCCAGGTTTCCTCAAGGCATCCCATGACCATGAACCAGGCAGGCAGAACACTTCTTGCTCCAGCTCCCCACCAGCAAGGAGGTGACAGTGGCCTCGTGGGGCAGAGCATGCCGTAAAGGCAGGATTTGTACTGCTCCCGGGAGCAAAGGCAGCCTGAAAGCCAGCACTGCGTGCAGGAGCCTGCATCCCTCTGCCTTTGCCTCCACTCAAGCATCGCCATCCCGCAGCGCTGCAGCAACAGCAAGCACTTTGCAGGAGGGAACCGGACCTGGGGCGGCATCGCAGAGCTCTGCTGTGCAGCTGTGAGAGGTCCAGCAAGCCCAGCTGGGAGTGGTGGTGGTGGAAATGTGTTAACAAAGCAAGCCAGCCCATTGCACAGCCCGCTCCTCCCCTTGCAAGCAGCTGCGCGGCCGTGCCCGCGGGAGCGGATGGGCCAGGCTGCGACCCTGGCACAGTTCCCCGGCACCCTCCCTGCCCCAGCCGCCTCCTGCACCCCCAGCTGCTGCTCAGAAACAGGGTTTAAAAAGGAAATGGGAGCAGGCTGTTAAATATCGATTGCTCTCCAGAGTGCCTCTGCCATTTACTCATTTGGAAAATAATACTCAGGCCACGCAGGGTGAGGAAGAGAAAGGATGAACAATGTCCTGTTGGCTGAGAGCAGCCGCAAGGCACGGCATCTCCTTTAAGTGATGCTGGCAGTACCTTGCTCCCTGTACAGGGCAATTAAACAGAGAGGTGCAGAAGGGCAAGGAGGACCCCGGGAGGAGCCCTGAGCAATGCATCCTCATGACCTGCCCAGAGCTTCAGCAAAAAATGGCCAGTGGAGAGGGAGAGAGAGCAGCGGTGAGCTGTTGCTGCACCATCCAGCAGAAGGGCAGCACCGCGGGAAGGCAGCACGTTGGGAAACGGCAGTGTTTGCACGGTGGCAGCCGCCCGTGACACGCAGAGCCTTATGGCTTAGGGCACAACTACCTGCTGACAGGAGCAGGAGGAGCAGAGATCGCCTCCTTTGCCTTCCCACTTGTCCTGCCTTCCTAAAATAGCACATGCAAAGCCCCACCGACTGCTTCATCTAGCCTCAGCAATGTTAATTCACCATCAACAGCCATGTATGCTCCAGGGCTAATGGGAACTGGCTGCTACCACGCAGCGTCGCATCAAACACCCTGGGGATTTTGAAGGAAGTGGAATTCGTGTTTGCATGCCACTGACCTCGTGGCCTTGCTGAAACGGTATTTTCTGTTCATTATCACTAAACACGAAGCCCTGGCTGGCTGGAGTTGGTGCCTTTGGCATGACACTGGTGTTACCGGGAGCACCGTGCCCGTGTGCTGCATTGCACGTGGCTCTTGCTCACTGCCCCCAACAGCCCCTCCAGCGCCGCAGGGACTCACACCTGACCCAGACCCTGATTTTGCACCCTGGGGCTGCGACCGGGGCTCATGCTGGGGTGGTGGTAGGAAAGCAGCACTCGCTCACCCGGCTGCTCCCTGGGGAGAAAGGACCCCTGGGAACGGCTCCTCCTCTGCACTGCGGACAGTGGGAGCCCTGTGGAGCACCCAGCATCGTTCCCCCACCTGGCACCAACCTACCCTCCTCTGGCAGGACTGCCGCACATCCTCCAGCTCCTCGTCCTTGTCTTCCAGCTCCTTCTGGTGGATCTGCTTCATCCGCTCTATCTCCAGCTCCAGCCTCTGGTGGAGCTGAAAGACCCAAAGACAAACACACCGGTAGTTGCACACAACCCCGGAGGGATGAGGATGGCGTTGGTAAGGGCTTGACATGCCCGCGTGGGGATGAACATCCCCAGCACACCCAGCCCGGTGGGGGCCACGCTACCTGCTCCAGGTGATCGACCGCGGCCGTTTGCCGCTCCAGCTCTTTCCGCTGCTCAGCAGCACTTGCCTCCAGGTCCCAGAGCTGCTTCTTGAGCACGGGCATGGCGCGGGCATCCAGGGCATTGGGGGTGCTGAGCTCCTGCACCCGGCCGGCCAGCACGGTCACCCGCTGCGCCAGGCTGGCCGCCTCCGCCTCCTTCTGCTGCTCGGCAGGGGCAGAGCAGTGCGTCAGCAGCTGAGCCCCAAACGCAGGAGAGGGGGCTTGCACTCACACCCCACTCTTAAAACCCAGACCATTTCCAAATGCATCAGCAAAATACCCTGGGAGCAGCAGCAGGCAGTGGTCAGCCCCCTCCCTGTACCAGCAGCCCCATCCCCACCATGAGCCCCAAACAATTCTTTCCCCCCTCAGTTTTGCTCACTCGCTCCTGCCCTCACCTTCCTCCTGCCACAGGCTGTCCCCCACATGGGTTCCCCGCAGCCCCCGCTGCCTGGGATGACTGGCAGCAACCTTGCGGCTTCCCCCCAGCCCCAGCGTGCTGTGCCCCTGCCCCTGCGGGGGCCTCGGTGGGCACCCGGTGCATCACCACCTCGTGGGGGCACAGACCTGCAGTTTCTTGCAGGTGAGATAGCGGGTAGAGGTGTGAAGAAGAGCACAAGTGACTTTAATGAAAATGATGGTGGGCCTCATTAGCTAAACCATGGGATGGGTATCACTTGTAAAAAGTGATAGCATTTCTTCTGGTAGAAGGTAATGCTATTTAAATACATCAGGCACATCCTTGAACTGCGCTAAAAGAAACGAATCAAGTTGCTGGGTTTGTGCCTGATTGCCTTTGCTATAATTGCAAAGATAATGGCTCTGCTCTAAGAGCTGTTCCTGAAACTGGATATAATGCAGCAAAGTGGGATATTTTCCTCTTACCTCTAAGCTCTGCTGAAGTTTGCCCATCTCCCATCGGATGTTGGTGTTCTCATGAGACACTTTTTCACGGAGGCTCTTCTCAAAGGCAGACTCCCCCAGGGCCTGGGCTAACTGTAGGTCAAACCTGGAGGGGGAAACACACGTTACCTCTCCCGAGCAGGCTGCCTCCTGGCCGGGGGAGCTGCGCCAAGGCAGGCAGGGAGACAGCCTCAGCCAGCGGCAAGCTGCTTCTCCTGGCATTGGGCTTTCCAAGTGCTTTTGAGAGGACTTAAAAAAAAAAAGCCTATTGTCTGCAAAGTGCTGCCATCATTTTGTGAATCCCTAATTACACCGCACAAGTACCAGCCACGGGAAGTGGACGGCGTGGCGCAGCAGTGATGTGCACACAGCCAGTCGCCAAAAGCAGAGCTCAAAAAATCACTGCTATCAGCTGCTACAGACCCAAAACACCCCAAAAAGTGCCTGCGTGCGGGCAGCAGCCCTCTGCCCCCTGCCACCGCAGGCAGCTCCGTCCCTGGGGCTGGCCGGGACTCTGCTGCACCGAGGGTTTGGTTTCAGCTCAGGAATCATTGCCACTTTGGAGCAATAAACCTGGGAGTTTCTCAGCACCTTCATATCTCTGCATGAGACCAAACCCCAGCCCACAGTCAGCATCTCAGCACAGGCAAGCAGGGAACACTGGCAACACAGTGTAAATTAAAAGAAATGATAAAGAAAGCGGATGGTGAATTCGCCATGTTTTCTGTGCCTGCTTGGTCTTGGTATCCTATTTAGGGGCAATTTCTTTCACAGGTACCAAAGAGCAGCAGTAAAACACTCGGGATCATTTCTTAGCTACAGGGCTCCTCTCCTCCAGACCAGGAGCGCGGTTTGCCAGCAGCGCTCCCGGCATGGGCACTCCCACACCAAGGGCACACCGACACCTGGGACACCCCAGCACAAGGGTGCCCAGGCACCCGGCAACACGGGAGCCCCAGGCAGCCCTCCCCGCAATGCCACCAAGCGTTGCATTGCGAGTGATTTCTATTATGGAAGCGCGTTACGGTCACGCAGCAACGGGATGTAAAAATAACCTCCCAGCTTGGTGCGACCTCCAGCAGTCAACATAGATGGAACTAGCAGCCCTTCCAGGAACTCCTCACCCGAAGCCACCCTAAGCATCCCTGTCCCCTGCTCTCCCGCTCCAGCAGCCCCAGCCCTCCCACGCGGTCCCACCAGCCTTACTTCTTCTGCCTCTTCTCCAGCTCGTGGCTGCGGCTCTGCTGGCTCTCGGCAAGCACCCGCGCGTCCTCCAGCTCACAGGCCAGCCGCCTGCACCGCCGCCGCAGCTGCTGGGACACCTTCTTGGCTGCCTCGCATGCTGCCTGCACCTCACCGAGCTGCGGGCAGAGGTGGCGGTGAGCGGCCAAGGGACCCTACGGCACACGAGCCCCACAGCCGCTCCCCAACGGGGGTTGAGCCCCCCTCCGGCACCAGGGGATGGTTCACCCAGAGATCTTTCACCAAACAAGGACAGATTTAGGTGCCCTGACCCCTCACGCTCCAGGTACCCTCTCGTGTGCCTGCAGCATCCCAGTCCTCCTGCTGAGTCAGCAAAGCTGCCCCAGGGGCAGATGCCTGATCCCATTTCTCTGCAAAGAGCAGCGCCTGGACCAAATGAGCTGGATCCCCTGTGGAGTTGCGTCATGTTTGGGACAGACACACAGACAGGACTGGCGGAGCTCTCGCCATTCATTAAGGAATTACTTTAGATAAGCAAAATCTTGCACTAATGAAGCCTGTAATTCCAAACTAACTATCTGAAAGCAAATGGGCTGCTTTGCTTTACCCAAGCTCCTAAGACTGGGCTGCTTTTCTTATTACTTTTTAGTGTAGCATGAATAATATTCGTTTCTTTATTTCATCCTTATGGGAAGTGACCTGACTCACAGGCGCATTTGCTTTTTCCCTTCTCACGGCAAAGCTCGGGAACTGCCAGCTCTTTACATTAGCTGTCTTTACATTAGCAGCTCTTTGCGGGACAGATGGTGTGAACACAACACAGTCCAGTATCCAAAAGCCAGATCAACTCCAAGACCCACCACCGAGCCCCTCCCCACCCTGCAGCTTCCCACCCTGTGCTCACACTCACGCCTGACCAAGGTTGAGTTTTGCCATGTTCTGGTGCAAAAGTGACTTTTTAAACTTGAAGGAAGTTTCAGGGTATTTATTCTCAAACTAGCAGAAAACAGCCGTTTTCCCCTGGTCAGTGAGAGCATCAGCAGCAAGTGGCTGCATTTCTGAGCCTCAGCCCTGTGAAGCTTTGCCCGCCCCAGGAGCAGGGAGAGGACAACCAGCTCCAGCAGCAGCCCCGCTCCACGGCGTGACCCTGGGGAGTCCCTGTCCCCTCCCGTGCCCAGGGCCGCCAGCACTTGCCTTTTGCTCAAGCCCCATCCTGGCGCCCAGCTCGGACTCCAGCCGCTCCTCCAGCTGCACCAGCCGCTTCCGCAGGAAGGCGATCTCTGTCTGCGCGCAGTCAAAGCGCACTTGCCACTCGTCCTCTGTGAATGGAGGGAAACCCGGAGGTGATGGGTGGGTGGGTGCTCAGGCCTAAGCAGCCCCCAGCAGCCATGCCGGGGTCGGACAGGCAAATACGCAATGGCACCGTGGCTGCCGTATGGCGCGAATGCCAGCACCGAGCTCGTAGGGCACAGCTCTGCTTTGTGCACCCAGGGCTTCCCCAGCTCCCATAGCACATGTACCCCGGCCTTAGGCAAAGCATGCACACTCATCCCATCCCACTTGTGTCTTAGCAGCCTCCTCACCACTCCAAAACATGCTTCAAACACACTTTGAGCTGCCGGGAGTGCTGGGCAGCACCAGCAAGCACCAGCGGTGCCCTTAGGCAGAATCCCTGCCTGCATCCCCAGCCCCAAGAGCAAGAGTTGTGCGCGACTGAGCTGTCACCGCCAGCTCCGGCTGGACAAGCAATGCAGAATGACAAAGTGCCAAAAACACACTGGGGTGGCCAGGGGCTGGGGGACCAGCACCGCTTTGGAGGGGGACCAAACCCCTGCCCATTGCAAGAGGCTTTGCCGCACCGCTGGGGCGGCCGCGCTGGCCCCACAGGTCCGGCTGGATGCTCAGAGCATGCACAGCCCCTGAAGGGACTCCCCTACCTCCTCCAGAGCCGCTTATCTTCATCTCACGCAGCTGAACCAGCTGCTGGGCCTCTTCCAGCTGCCTTTCCACCAACTCCAGTTTCTTCTGCACTTGGTCGTGTTTGCTCTGGGGAAACCCGGGAAAGGAAGGGAGCAGCTCTAACCAGCTCCACGGCACTTGGGTCCAGCAAGGCCGTGCCGAGAGCACGGCATCGCCACCGGCATGGCCCAACGGTCGCCTACCTGCAGCTCCTGCAGCTCGCGGGCACCCCGCAGCCTCTCTGCCCGCTCCCCATCCAGGACCTGGCAGGCAACGTCGCCCTTGTACCGCTCGTCCGACAGCTCCGTCGTCAGGTCGATGATCTGGGGGGCGCAACGGGGAGTCTGTCTGGGCATCACCGTGCGTGCCGGCCTGGGGGGGGCCAGCCACCCCGCATTGTCCCAAGCATCCTGACTGCTCTCACTTGGCAGCTGCCTATGCTTAGGGGACGTGGTAAGTGCCCAGCATCACCGACCAGTGTCACCAGTGGGAAACCAGGCTCCCATTGGCAGTGCCTAGCAAAGAGCAACCGCTGCTGGAGCCCGTGGCCGCACCCCTTGCATGGCTGCCTGTGGCAAGGCAGCTGCCCGCTACGGCTGCAAGCAGCACGCTGCCTGCACTGTGCTGCCTGCAGTGCGCTGCAGGCAGGGCTCATCAAATTTCTGCACCATTCTAGTTGATTAACATTAAATTTCATTTGCAACAACAAGCAGATGAATGAAGGGGGGAATTATTAATCCAGAGGATTAATTCCACTTTCTGCAAAGCAGAGGTGAACACAGTCCGTCCTGCTCAGCCAGCCAAGCAAGGGGCTGCAGAAGCAGCAGGACCAGCTGGAACATGCAGGCTTCCAACGTTCCTTTCCTCCATCTGACAACATTTTAAGGCACTCCACATTTTGTAGGCATGCTACACAAGCTCCTTAGGGCGTCCAACAAGTTTAACTCCGTAAGTTAACTCCGTAAGTTTTCTTTCCCTGGGGAGCTGGCATTTTTCTAGGTCTGTCCTGAGGCGTTAGCCTCGCTCAGCAGTCCCAGCCTCGTGGCTGTGATTTCATTTTTAACAGAGAGCTTAAGCTAAATCATCTTTAGCTGTTTCCCATTGAGAAGGGGGTCCCTGGCCCTTGGGGCTGTTGGCACCATTAACCAGAGCTGCAGCGTTACATCTAGACCACAGCTTGGCCATCCCTTGTGAGGGGTGAGCACCGTGGGCCGGCGAGCTGGGTAAACCCAGGGTATTTAGGGCAAACTTGGGAGCTCCTTCTCCTCCCGGTGCTTAATGAAACCCCAGCTGCAATTGCGCAGGAGCCCGTGCATCTGAGGGGGGACTCCACACAGGACCAGAAACAGGCTGGGGACACACGCGGTCCCCAACATGCCTCCATGTCCCTTCTGACATGCACAACGGGGCAGCCGAGCGGCTGCCCTGGCAGCTGCCACCCCCTGAGCGCCACACACGGTGGGGTCATGCTCGGAGCCAGGGGACAGGCAGGACACTTCTGCGTGCTGTCTCCTCGGTATTAGCATTCGTCCCATTAAACTAAGTCACTTCTGGTGTCTGCAGAGGTTGGCGAGCCTGCAGTCCTGAGAGCGTAATGAGAACATGATCTGTGTGTAATTTCCCATTCTAATTATACCCTTTTGTCAGCAGAAGGGATGACATTCACACTGCTGCTTTTCAGCCTCGTACACCACATCAGTGGCAGCGCGAGGTGACGTCTGTCCTTGCTGGAGGGGACATGAGGCTTTCCCTGGGGACACCCTTGGGAACAGCCCATTCTCAGGGCATCTGGGCTGCTCTCCGGGTGCAGACCCTGGGGGACCCGTTGCTCTGGCAGGCAGGATCCCACCCAGCAGGGACCCTGCAGCGATGCTGGCCCTGGGTGCCGCAGTCAGGCACCGCTGCCCATCAGGGTCCTGCACAGAGAACCACCTCTGGCTGCGGTCACTCTGCCAGCAGTTTGGCAGCTGCCCCCTGCCCAACCCACTGCCAATCACCGCTCCTCCTGCGGTCATGTAATTGGCGGTCATATTAATCCCGACACGGCTTAATTTCCAACTCCACCAAGTGGGGCTGCAGCAGAGGCTTTTTTCAGGCTCTACCTTGCTCTCCAGCTTCTCTGTGGTCTGCCTGAGCTCGCTGCATGCCTGCTCAGATTTGTCCAGCTTCCTTCTCAGCGCCGTCAGCTCCTCCTAGGGAAGATTGCAAAAATAACCACATGGAGAGCTCCAGCATCCTCAGTTTATTTATGAAAATCTCGTTTTCTGTTAAAAATAAGTGGGAGAGACATAGCTGCCTTATTAATAAAATCTACCAGGCAACTTTGAAGGCTGCTCACTGCAAATTGCCGGGACTACAGCTCCTGACATGAATTTCATCGGAGGGAATGTCAGCTTTGGTGTGCATAGAGAGCACATTTTATGAGAAAGAAGCAAACCTCAAAAGCCTGGGATGAACAGCCAAATGTCTGAATTTTGCTCATGGAGCATTCCTGGGGCCCTGGCAGGCTATCACAGAGCGGCTGCAAAGGCACATTGTTTTCTGTGATTCTTTTTCAGGCAGCGTGACTGTAACAGCAGAAAGAGCTGCTCAGTGCAGCCTTGTCCTGCTTTGATGTCCAACACTGAGCAGAAGCAGAACGTGCAGAGTTGTGATAAAAACAGAGGTTAACGGGTGATGGGGCCTGATGGATCCCAGGCGGGTTTGGAGAGAGAAACAGATGAGGCTTAGGCAGCTTTTATTTTGTCAGAACCAGCCTGAAAACACCTTGTTAAAACCTCACTAAGGCAAGAGGAGGAGAAGGATGCCAGGGAAGATGGAGTAAGAATTTAGCACAGGTCTCAGATGGTACACAGGCGCAAAAGGTGCCTTTCCCGGGTCAGCAAATGCCCATTAATGTCTCCCATCACCAGTGGAGACAGGTGGAAGCCAGCACAGAGCAGAGTCCCCCGTGTCAAGGATGCGTTTAGCTGCTTATCATCTGTTGTCCCACAGACTGACATGGAGCACCCGTCCCCGAGGGGTTCAGCCTACCAAACCCAGACCCAGGGAGCTCGTGGGGGCACGAGGAGGGCAGCGGGGCAGCCGCAGCCCTGGGATGGTGCTTCGGTTGTGGGGACAAGGTGCATTTGCTACTGTCCCTCTAAGGAAGAAGGAGAGTTATTTCTCCTTCCACAGCTCTGCAAAACACATTATTCAGGGCAAAAAATGCAGTGCTAAGAACAGATGATGACTTTTGGATGGTCAGAAAATCATCTCTGCCCTGGCAGAAGTGACTTCCAATTTGACCAACACACCAGGCAGAGCCCCTAAAGCATCTCGTCCCGTCCCATCCCGTCCCATCCCATCGCTTGGTGCATACTTCTTTTGCACGGAGCTGATCCTCCGCGAGGTTTACGCTGAGCAAGGGCCGCACGCGGCTCAGGAGCTGCCACCAGGGCCAGTGCCTGACTGCCTGGAAGACCACCAGGTTCTTCTGGATGCAGCGGACGGCAAGGCGCTGGATCTGCAGGGAGACACAGCTGCCAGTGTCCCTCACCCAGCTAGGACCAAGCCTGCTGGGAAGGCCAGGCTGGGGCACTGGGCTGGAGAGGGATGAAGTGGCAGAGAAGTTCCACACCACAGGGGATGGCAGCATGGCATCTCATGGCTGCCCACAGGGCAGGGCAAAGTGGGTACCCTTCAAAGGAGCAGCCTGCTCTGCTCAAAAGAGCTGTAATTTGGATGCTCTGGGCCATATCTGCAGCAGCCAGAGCCCACGCTGTGGTGGGCGCAGGGGATCCATGACCTGTGGGATGGGTACCTTCAACCTCTTGAACTTCTGACGGCTGAGGAAGCCCTTGCAAGCAGCCTGGAGCAGGAGCATCTTCTGGGCTATCAGCTTGTCACGTTGCTTCTCCAGTCTGGAGATGACCCCTGGCTTCAGGAAAACCTGACAGCAAGCAAGAGAGGTTACACACCCCCAGGACAGGGTCTGAAACCTGCCCACAGCCAGCAGGATGTGTTTCAGGCTAACACCCGGCAGCCTCCCCCGAGACCTGTGGGAGACCGAAGGTCCTTGGACTGGCCAGGACCAGTGAGCGTGACCACTGCACCAGCCCGAAACGCTGGGCTGGAAGGGAACTCCAGCCCTACCTGTCCAAACCCACAACATGCCTGGCTGCCCCATGCTGTGAAGGCACCCAAGGAGGCCCTGGCACCAGCCTCTCTGGGGATATTCATGGGACAGCAAGAGGGACCAATGTCCCGTCTCCGTCCCGTCCCCGAGCCCAGCAGCAGGATGGCTGCATATCCCAGAGAGCACCTTCCACCTGCCCCTCCATCTCCTGCTCCTGGGCATCACCGAAACAGGGCGTATGGGGCTGCCCCGGTCCCACTGACTCCCTGGGGACCGGATTGCCCTTCAGGATCCGGCCCTCGCCCTATGCGCATGCTGGCATTTGCTCTCTGTCCCTGCCTCCTCTCACTCCTCCTTTTTGACATAGGCACCAACCATCACAAGAAGCTGCAAGTCCTCAAAACTCTTCCCTTGGGCCGCTGCCCATTTCCCACCTGCTGCAAGGACAGCGGGGTTACCTCTGCTGGCAACGGCATTTCTGACAGCGTACACACAAGATACACACAGATAACAGCAAAGATGCCAGCTTACAATAGGAAAAACGAAATTAACCACATCATTTTCTTTAACTGAACTTGTCAGAAACACCTCATAAACGATATAGATTTGCTGATGCCATCAAATTTAGCCTGGTATTGATCTCTCAGAGTGTAAGGTATCTCTCGGTCATTGCCTGGCAAAGCTCTTGGGATATGGGACCAATCGCGCCTGACTATTGTGCACCATTTGCATAATACAGCTTTAATAAAAACTGAATTACACTTGTGAAGCCAGTGGCATACTTAAAGAGCTGCGTTTTAAAGACGCCAAATTGAATCAAAGAACAATTCCAAGGAAACTCACTTTCTTGAGATAATGCTATGATTGCTCCACCACCTATTTGATTGTCTCATTAATGTCTGTATTAACTTCACAAGCCAGCAAGTTTTAGAAGCTAGTACAAAATCAATGCTCAAAGCGATGGCAAAACTAACTCCTCTATAACAAGATGTGACTGGAGCTGCTATCGCGCTATTGATTAAGTACAAGGGTTTCATAGAAGAGATAATTGCAAACTGCACTCTGCAGGATAAAAGAAAGTTATTTTGCTCCACAGAACCATTTCATGAATTCTTTCTTTATAGACTCCAAGAGCTGAAGGCAAGCATGCATGCAAAATTAATTTTTCTTTGAGATTATCATATTTAAGTTCAAATGTTGTTGCTGCGACAACTCTTGCACCTGCAGGTGCCTGGCTCAGCAGAGTGTTAACCCCAGCCCACCAAAACGATGAGCTGCTCAAGCCCCATTTACTCCCATGAGACATCAAAGGTAATTAGGAATTTAAATGCCACAAGGGGCTGGATTCCCATAATTAGGTACACGGTTTACCCAGGTTAATGCTTTCAAATGTGAATTAGGAGCCTTCTGCTTTGATTTTCGGTGAGGCTTGGTTTCCCAGCCCACCTGGGTGCCATGGGGAGCAGTGGAGGAGAGGCTTTCTCTCCAGTTTGGGAAGCTTTGGGTAGCTGGCAGCACCTGGCACGGGGCTGGCTGTGCCCATATGCACTGAGAGCAACTGGGAAGCGGAGACCGGAGCTGTCGTACCTGGCTGCGTCCTATGGCAACGCTCTTCTTCTCCAGGTCCAGCGCCTGGAAGAGCTCCTCTATAGCCTGCGGAGAAGAAGCAGATCATGGAATTGCTCAGAAAACATTTACAGCCTGGTATGAGCCTGCTGAAGTGGGGCGCAGAGACCCCTGGTCCTTATGGGCACCCAGTAAGGGTGCACCCAGCTGTGCTCTTGTTTCTTCCTCCCCACGCCCAGCCCAAGAGCAGCCTCCAAAACTGCTGCCCCAGCCCCGGAGTCCTGGTGTGAAAAGTGCTTTCTGTCCCGGAGGCTTTCAGTAGGATGGGGAGCAGAGATCTGTGGCTGCGTGCAAGATTTTCCCCCTTTTGCTGCCATCCCAGGTCTGGAAGGACCCTGATGCACGGGCAGCCGTGGAAGGAGGCTACTCAGGGGAAGGCAAGACCCCATCCCAGCACTGCCCAGCCAGGGTCTGACTGTGCTGTGCAGCCACGAGCCCTCCGTGCTCCCCTCCTGCCTGGCTCGCCAACAGCTCAGCCTGTGGAGCCAAAAGCAGGAAGGGGAAAGCACCAAGATCCCCCACGAACCCATGGTGCAGAGCTGAGCCCCTGCACGGAGGCAAGCAGGAGATTAGTCCCGAGCTGTAGGAGAAGTCTGAACTCAATTACTCTGAGCTTTGGACCGACATGCGAACGTAACAGCCAGCAATACCATACATTTCCCCAGGGCAGCAAACACTATCTGGATGAATGGATGATTTGAAAACCCCAGAGCTACAGAAATCGTAACAGAAATCCTCCGCTAACACTTCACTCCATACAAGATCCTCTGGCAGCCTCGCACACCTCCTCCACAAAGGACAAACCCACGTGAGAAATATTTTGCCCCGGTCCCCAAGCACCTTGCTGCAGCAGAACTACGCCCCTCGCCCTCCATGCACGTACCAGGGCGAGGCGGGGATGGAGCACGCGAGTGCATGGGGGGATGGACCACCACAGTGCATGAAACCGTGTGCCGGAGGCGAGGAAGCACCAGCGCTGCGGCTGTGCCCCACTCCTGCGGCAGTGCTGGGACTGGGGCCAGGCACAGGGCTGGGCAGGACAATCCCATCCCCTCCACAACAGCGAGGCTGGTGCAAGCACGGGGTAGGTTATTGCTGCACTGTCACCCGCGCTACAGAGAAGCATCTCTTGTGCTCCAGCAGCCGAGTTAATGCAGCTTACTGGGAAGCAGCCTCCAGCTAACAAAACTGTGTGGCAGGGAGGATAGGATTTTTCAAATCCTCTGCTTACACGCTGCTGACGAGGCACCCTCTGCCTCCTTACAGCATTTAATAACAATATTGACCTTTTCCGACTGTCAAACTTGTCTTATTGAATCCCGAGGTCTTAACTGAATTTGCACACACTGGCTGGCAGTTTGCACAACAGAGCACGTGCCCATGTTTAATTCATCTCTTCTCGGTTCTTCCCAGCTCTCAGTGCTTCTTGGCTCACTCATAGCCTGTTCCAGGGGCAGGGGCAGTTCTCCCCAGTTTTTGCTACAAATTTATTATGAAACAAATAAAACTGGCAAATCTCCACCTTCATTCCCGAGCTCCTTTGGCTTTCAGGCTTCATGGGATGAGGCGAGGGGCCACCCTGGGATGTTGCTTTGCAGGTGTCTGAAAGCAAGTGATGCCCGGTCCCTGGGGAACCTTCTTGTGCTCCCTGCTCTGTTGGGTCCCTGGGAATGCTGCCTGGCTTGTCCTCAGCCAGATGGTTTTTGGGAGAGCTGGGGTGAAGGATGGGGCAATGCACAGATCCTGCCCTCTGTATATGCCTCCAGTCCCACAGTTTGTGCCCTGCCCTGCAAAACGAGACCTACCAGGCACACAGCCAGAGCACCGGAGGACTGAGGCACAGCCCTCAGCAAGCAGGATTTTCAAAGCCATTTCCTCTTGAGTATTAAAAAGTAGCAATAAGAGGCTTCATTTCCAGGCTGATTTCTCCAAGTCCTCTCCATGGTGCAATAATGTTGGCAAATGCAGCCCACGCCAGGCATGTTTACTGCCTTTGCAGAAACCATCCTCAGAGGGAGAAACTCCAGGATGAAGAGCCGAGCTTGGCTGCTTTGCCAGGTTGCTGGAGGACCTGTGTCCCTCCGTGCTCAGGCACACATGGGAAAGGTAAGGAGGAGCAGGACGCAAAGCCACCCCCTGCAACCCAGCGCCGCACGAGGCTGCACTCATGCAGGACGCAGGACCGCTGCCAGATCACTCCTGATCATTGCTAGGGAGCTCCGACCACCCAGAGCCCAGAGCTACGGACTGACCCCGCAGATTCCCAAACCCACTTGCCATTTCTCAGCAGCACTGCGAATGCTGGGGTGCTACCCTGAGCCTTGCTGAATGTGGTTTTTCTCCTTCATTCCTAGCTCCTGAGGACAGCCTCATGTTTAAGAAACCCCCGGACCTGCACTGACAACCTTGCTACCAAAGCTCCTCAACAGCTGTCCAGATGTGTGCTCCCAGCTGTAGCGGGTCCTGCAGCAACAGAGCAAAGGAGCATCACCCACAGCCATCGGGAGACGCTGGAGCTTGGCAGCCCACAGACCTGCGGCTATTGACCCTACAGCAGCCAAAGGAATAATACCAGCAACACCGAATGCCTGAGTGAGGCAGGGACTGGGAAGGAGCTCCTGTCCCAGGGCAGGGGGATGCTGGTAGGACCCGGTTCGTTTGGAGAGAGGGCAGCTGGGCTCACGCAGTGTACAGGCAGTGCCAGTGCAGGGGCTGCCTGCAGGGAGCTCCAGGAATTGCTCCTCGTCGCAAAGAAAGCCCTGACCACATCGGGGAGGGCTGGAAGAGCTCTGGCACCACATGGGGCTCTCAGCCCCTGCTCCCCAGGCCAGCCCAGCACGCACCTTGCTCTCATCCGGCACCTCGTAGGCAGAGGTGTATTTCTTCATGACGTCCGGAGTCAGAACCTGGAAGCGCCGTCGGAACTGGGTCAGGAGCAGGCGATCCGCATACCCTGGGGAGAGACAGACATTGCTGGGGGCCACGCCAGCCCAGGGGCATGTGGCCTGCACCGAAACACTGGGGAGGGAACCAGTGGGGAGGGGGCTGCTGCAAAGGGTGGCACATCCTGTGCACAGCAAAAGGCATTGCAGGTGGTGAGGACCAGGGGACCTGCCCTTAGCGGAGAGAAATCCCTGCAACAAGGGCAGGGTAAAGGGAGCAGAGAAGCAGCGGAGATGTGCTTGAAGTGGTCAGACGCCATCCCAGCACCTCGTGTCATGCAGGAGATACCCCTGGACCTCCTGCACGGGTCCCTCTCCCCCTGGCATGGACTGTGACCGCAGTTGGTGCAGGTCCAGCCTGATGCACGGATGGGAACCCCGCTGGAGCCGCAGCTGTCGGGCTCGGGCTGTGCCACCCGGCAGCACAGCAGGCTGGGGGCAGGAGAGGCATTGGGAACCCCTGCAAAAAGGAGCAATAAAAACTCAGGGACTTTCTGAAAGTGGGGCTGGTGAGAGGCAGATGATGAGCGAAGCATGGAAGGCTGAGCCGCCGGCAGGGCAGCACCGGCAGGTGGGGCTGGCCCAGCACACGGCAGTGGTGGAGAGCCGGGGCGTACCGACGCGGTGGAGGCGCAGGGCATCCAGGAGCTGAGACCCCTCCAGCTGGGCTTGCAGGGTCGGCACGTCCAGCCGCAGGGCTGCATCGGGCGGCGCGGGGGGCCGAGGAACTGGCCCCTCCGACCCCCCTCCCGGGAGAAAGCAGTGGACGAAGTGCAGCTGGGACCGTCGGAGAAGGTTCATGAGCGCGTCCTGCCAGGCAAGCAGAGGTCAGCGGGGATGGAGCAGGGCGAAGGGGCAGCACGTGGTAGCAGTGGGAAACGCTCCCCATGCACCCTCCGCCAGGTGTCTGGGCAGGTAAAGGAGCCATCCTCAGAGCCCTCAAAGCTCAGGTGTGTGTTAGGAACAACAGCTTTGGTCAGAGAGGTGAGCCCGAGGTGCAGGACACAGAAGCTGAGCAGGACCCTTCCTCCTAACATCCCATGTTTTCGGTTGATGGGCTACAAAAAGTTACCAGGGTTGAGGGTTACTGGGCAGGGGCTTGCCGCGGACGGCCAGGACTGCAAACCGGGCTGGCCAAGGAGTCTACACAGACAGAGCCTCATCTCCTCGAGAGACTTTAGGCACCTAATTATGGCTGAGATAGCGGGAGCTTGGCATGTGCCCAGCACAGAGGGCTAGTCTACTCGTCTGAGAGCTTAAGAGGATTAAGCGGTGGCACAGCAAGGTGCGTGTGTAATCTGCTTTACGATTTGTTTGCCTGGGATGCTTTCCCTGAGGGACAGCAATGTTCAGGAGGCTTGTGGCCACCCGCAGTCAGAGCAGCATCCCGGGTCAAGAGCCCTGCGGGACACAGAACCGCAAGGGTGACTCCCAGCCCTGCGGCGCAGGAGGTGCCTGCCGGGGGCGGGGGGTGTGGGGCTCCCCGCTAAGGAGCAGTGTGTCTAAGGCAGGATCTCAGTGTGGGGTCAGGCTACACAGTGCTGCAAACACCCCGACCCGCAGCCACGAGTGTCCCGGCGCCTGCACTCACCGCCTGCAGTTTGAGCTGAGCACACACCGACCTCTTCTTCACAGCTGCGAAGCTGCTGGCAAAGGTCTTCCTCACGCAGCCATTGCGGTGCAGGACCGCCTGAGAGTGTCCCTCCAGCCCTGCCACGGCGCGGCAGGCCAGCGGCACCCGTGAGCGCGGCAACACCAGCTCCTTCACGGCGTCTCTGTCAGAGCGAGCAACGAGACGGGGTCGTGAGGCTGCAGCAGTGCCAGCACCGGGGAACCTCTGCTTCCCAGCCCCTCCAATGGTGATGTGATGCCCAGCACCCCAAATTTGGCATTGGTGCTGCCGCAGGGCACCCCGCCATGGAGCAGAGCAGGGTGCTGGGACAGCCCCCCATGCCCTGTTCCTCTCTGGTTCAGGCACTGAGCTGTTCACCGCTGTTAAAACTTTCCTGAGTTGAAGCCCCAAACAGAATGAGCTGGGAGTGGTTAAGCAGAAGGTTAAAATCATCCTGTGTGCGGAGACATCTGCAGCAGCTCGATTACATTTCAATTCCAATTGAGTTTACAAGGTTCCTCAAAGCGGTGGGGAAAACCTGTGCGGTTGCTGCATGGGGAGCTGCCTTTGGCTGGTGATGTCTCGCAGCCCTGACCCACGCCGGACACCCAACCCTGCGGCACTGCGGAGCCGAGGATGTCACAGGGTCCCCTCGGTGCGCCCTGCCCCCCCCACTGCCCACGCCTGCTGGAGGAGACCCCCACTGAAACGTCAATGGAATGGATCTGCTGACTCAAAGAACCCAGACAGCTTTGATGGAAGGCTGTTCACCGTGGCATTATTCAACAGCTTGCTCTGTAGCGTCTACTGCGATCACAACACGTACATCTGGCTGTCAGTCAGCCTGGGGGCTTGATGGCTGTAAGTCAAATCACTTGACATCTGCTCCCCCCACCTTAACTAAACTCTCAGGATTCCCACAAAGCTGGGTTGAAAGCTGTGGGGTTTCCTGGCTTTCCTGCAGTTTTTCCCCTGGGTAGAGCTGGACTCAGGCAATGCAATGCCAGTGTCAGCTGGTGCCTGGGACTGCCCCGCAGACATGATCCACTCGAGATCCTGTCCTCTCCTTGCCCACCAGAGGCCAGATCAGCTCCATCCCCTGGGCTGTGCATTGGGCAGGAGGTGGGGGGACAGGCAGGGACCCCTTACAGCCAGCACCAAGGCCATTGCCCACCCTGGCTGCCTGCAGCTCCTCTGACCTCAGCGAGGCTGCGAGTGCTCTCCTCTCTGTTGGGATGGCTCACACAACCCTCTGCCTTCCCCACCACGAAGGGCTTCTCGGAGCTGGGGCAGGTTTGCAATCTCCAGCCCCAGCTGGAGCAACTCAGCTCATGGCAGAATCATCCCCAACCCACTCCCACGGGCACAGGGATGACCGCTGGTGCCGGGGCACCTCCCTTGTACTTACACCGTGGACCGCTGCAGCACCTGGATGGCGTTTTGTGCTGAGAGGTTGAGCTTGGCTTTGCTGACCCAGCCCGTGAGGTCGTAGCGCACGGGGTCCGTGCCCAGCTGGTGGGAGATCTCGAAGTGCAGCGCCTGCTCACACCTGCGCATGTAGCCATCCCCTGCAATAGCGACAGCACCCCAGAATCGCCCGAGAAGAAAAGCCCGGTGAGTTGTTTAATTTGCGACACGGTTTCTTAGATTTCCAAAGCTAAATGGCAATGCCACAGGGTGGGCAGCCAAGCTGAGCCGAACTTACCCTCCTGGTCAGGTCCCTTCGTGGCAAAGTAGGAGCACAGGCGGTCGAAGGCAGTGCCGTCCCCAGAGCCTGGGATCAGCACCTCCTCGTCCAGGATCCACAGCAAACCCTTGCGATTGTCCCCCGGGCTGCCGGGCAGCACCTGCGACTGCCAAAGGGAGATGGCCCTCAGTGATGGGGAAGGGGCAGGAGGGCTGCGGGTAGCCAGCTCCAGCCACAGCCATGGCAGCCTGCTCCCCCCGCGCTCCCATCACCTCTGCCCAACTGTGTCCCCTGCCCCAGAGCAGCCAGACCAGGGTCGGGAAACCCTCCTGGCTTGATCCAGCTCTGGACATCACCCTTGAGACCTCTGCAGTCACATGGTGTCCCAGAGGGCTGGGAGGGGTGCCCGGGGTGCAGGGCTTTACCAAGAAGGGTGCTTGTATTTTAAAAAGCCCAAAAGGTCCTGGTTGATGCTGTGCGCTCCCCTGCAACACCCTGGGCTGCTCTGTGCAAAACACAGAGCGAGGTCCCACTCTGCCTCTGAAATCCTCACTCCTCTGAGCAGGAGGATGCTTCAAGCATGGCCAGAGCAACCAACTCCCACCATGGCCATGGGGATAGGTTACCTGTGAGGAGCTCATGTCGATGATGGACAGCGTGGCCAGTGGAGAGCGCTCTGGAAGATCAAAAGACACCTCAACATTTTCCTGGAAAACATTATTTAAAAGCTTGCTTCAGTCATGGTCTGGCATCTGAAAGCCAAGAGGAGATAGGTTTGCATGGAGGGGGAGGAAGGTGGTGTGGGCCCTGCTCCCACTTGGCTTTGCAGGGATCCGGCACAGGAGAAGCAGAGCAGCCACTGGAGACACCTCCGCCGTGGCGCGGAGGCACAGCCCCATCTGCCCCCGCCGGCAGGGCCGTCGGGACCACCGCGCCCAACGGGCTTCTGCAGCGCTTTGCGGATGTCAGACAAGCTGCATAAATCATGGATATGATAATAGCTGAAGACTTAACAAGAAAGCACCAAGAAAACAATCAATTATTTAATTTGCAGCTTGCAGGCATTGTTGCCCTTTCTCAACAGAGGGCTTTAGGCTGTGAGCCCCCAGCTGCAGGGCTCACCCACCAGCCGCAGCTCCAGCACCCCCTCCCGACACCCCCGGTGCCATGCCCTGGAGCGTGGGGAGCCCCCCGGGAGGGGCAGGGTAAGCACAGCTTGCTCTTGCACACGTGTGAACTGGGGATGTTCAGCGAGAGCCGTAGCTTTAATGTCTCTCCATGGTAACATGGTGAGATTTTGCTCAGGCATTCAGGTTTGCAGCCTGAGCACGCAGGTGAAGCCGAAAGCAGCAGCGGGGCCCAAGTTTTTTCCTACCAAGGGCATGTGCCACCCCCCCCCACCATGTGTGATCCAGCTCTGGCAGTAAATGGGTCACTGGGGCTCGGGCTCACAGTCGCAGTCCCGTGGCTCACAGGGAAATGTCTTGCACCAGGGCAGCCGTCCTCAGCCAGCAGCAAAGCCAAGGCAAGGCGAGCCTGCTGAGCCCCCTGCCATTTCAAGCTCGGCCAGTAACTACATATTCATCACTAGTGAAGGGCATGTACATACATACCTGGCGCAAGTGATGTGTGAATATTAAGCCATGGGAATTCAACTATTTCCCCAGGGCTAGAGGTATTAAAGTAACTTCTGCAAGCCTAGTAAGTTCATCTCTGCTTGTAGATTTTTCAGCAGCTTATTTCTGCAACAATTTATCATTTTCCTTTCTATTCTCTATTATTCATCACCTGAGGAAAAATTCAGTGGCACCAACCGAAGGGCACAAAGCCTCCTGAGCTGGAACAAACGTGCCCAAAGAGATGTCAAGACAGCCTGGCTTCTCTGGCACATCAGAAATACCCAAGAAGATTTGTGACTGGGGCAGCGGGGGGGAAGAGAGACCTGGCTCAAGGCTACCGTTCCCTAGTTTCTGCAACACCACTCCTGTTAAAGCTGCTGAGTGTGTTATTCGGTCACACCATAGCAGGGCACAGGGATCTGCTGGGTCGAAGGCAGCCCCATCCCCAGGTGCTGGGAAGCTGCCCCCCAGGATGCTGCTCCCAGCCCTGGCTCCTCACCTCTCTGTACCTTTCCATTTCCACAACAAAGGTTTTCTCGTAGAAGAGAGCCTGCAGCCGCTCGTGCACATAGTTGTGGTAGAGCTCTTCAAAAGTCGCCGCTCGCTCGCCCCGATGGTGCCGTGGGTTGTGAAAGCCAGGAGTGTCCACCACTGCAATGGAGGCCATGGAGAGGTGCTGGGAGGAGAAAGACCTGGGGAAAGAGCCACACACACCACCAGGTTTCACCCACAAACACGCCTCAGCTCTCCCTTTGGAGGTGACACTGCCTCCTCCCCCCGACATGCACATCCCTGGGTGGGCACCATCCCACGTAGCAGTGGCCAGCCCAGCGCTCCCCATCTGCCCTTCTCCCACTGTCTCCTGTCAGGGAGCACCCGCACCTCCTGGCACGGTTCATTTGCTTGTCCCTTTCGCTTCACCCACCTCTTCTTTGATCTACTCAAGCCGAGCATCTCCTCCCAGCCTAGATGGAGGCACATGGCACGGACTGCTCCTGACCTGACCTGGGAGACACTTAACGGTGGGGTGGGATGAGATGCCGCCCTTCCCATGCTTGGCCCCATCCTGGCACTCTAGTTATTGACAGTACTATGTCTTCATCCAAATGTATGAAGTTTGATGGACCAGTTGATTTGAAAAGCGGCTAAACTGGCACGTGATGCCAACACTGAGGACAACAGGAGTGTCCAAAGCCCCGGCTGCCATGCCGCACCGTGCCGTCTGCAGCGTTTCTCCAGGGGAAGCTGCTGATGTTCAGCTCCCGAGGAAATCGCTAACAGCAACCACAGCCCTTAACATGTGTGGTCCGAGAAGCAGACATCAAGGGGCTTCTTGGGAGAAAAAGAGATGTTGTTTACTTCTTCAGCTGTTGCTTGCAGCCATTTCCAGCATTTCAGATAAGGACAGCAGGGGAGTCGGACCCTGGGAAACCTCTAAGATTGTTTTTAGTGTGCATTTCTGAAACTGCCATTGCGTTGTGCTGCTTCACCAGCTGCAGGGCTGCCCCTTCCCCAGCAGCCCTGCTGGCAGTACAGCCCGCTGCTGCTTCGGTGAGATTAAAGGAAATGCATTTCTCCTTGATAGAATCCCCACCAAGCATGCCAGCACCTCAACGAAAGCACAGGGTTGAACGAAGCAACAAAAGTATATTTATGAATTGCTTGCAGAATTTCATAGCAGCACCCTCCTGCAGCTGGAGTTGAAAAGAGTCATGCTCGCCATCAACTCACTGGGGAAACAGCATTTTCATGACTGCACTGAAACATGCCTCTTCACCTGGATCATTGTTGCAATGGTTTAATAGGCTTTGGCGGGCTAGTGTGGAAAATAAAGCCAGGCAAAACAAAGCTACCTTTAAAGGGAAGAAGGGACCTGGGACACATCCTGAGCTAATGCTGTTATTCAGGAGAATCAGCAACATTTTGCTCTTCTGTCAGCCCTTGGTGTACCATCAGCAATTTCCCTTTGGAGTGTAGTTGCTAGGAATTACAATAAAAATATTCTGCAGGTTAAGTAACCGCAGGTTAAAATAAACCTGCAGCAACAACACAGAGTATTTTGGGCACTGGCTTTTATGTGGATGCTGACTTCAACAAACTGAGTTGCACATCAGAACTGAGAAAATGGAACAGTCTGGGGACCTGATCCTTAGCCCGGTGTTAAATTATTCCATTTATCCAAATAGATCATTTTGGATTTAAACCGCCTGAAGAAAGAGATACGTCAGGCCACAGAGGATGTCCTTCCCATCCTGACTCTCCAGATGGAAATAAGCAGAGTGAGGACAAGCCCCCGGGGCAGAGAAAGGTGCTGCCTGCTTGGCCGCACCAGCACCCGGCAGCAGGACACAGCTGCAGCCTCCCAGGGCACCTCGGCAGCTACTCTGGTGCCAGACCCTCTCACTCTTGACTCCTCGATCTTTTCCTGTGATCAAGCTTTTACCACGAAGCGACTCCTACCACGCATCTGCAGGGCTCGCTGTGGGATTCCCTGACTGGTTTATTGTTCTGCCCGTACTGGTAACCTTGATTTTGGTCTGCAAAGTCACATCTATTATTAATAGGAAGCCGGGCTGCTCCTCTCAGCACTGCGATGCCCTGCTCTCCGCTGCTTGGTAGGTCTGCTCGGGGTGCTGCCTCCCGGCAGGCAGCTTACCAGCTGCAGCAGAAGCGGTGCCAGCTGGGCACTGCTGGTGCTGGGTCTCCTCGCCAGGCCGCCCGTACTGGCAGGAGGGGCAGGAGACATGCCGTCCCATGCAACACCCAGATGCGCAGAGACTGCTGCTCCGCGGGGCCCTTCGTCCCTGGTGCCGGACAGCCCGCGGAAGGTCCCGAGTGCCAGTGTGCTCACCTGGATGGAGATTTTCAGATAACTTTCTTTCTTCAGCGGGCAGCAGTTGCCTGCTCCATGCCTTTCTCTGGAGACCCCCCAGCAAGGTTCCTCTTCGGCAGCCCCAGCAGAAGGAGCCGTCGCCCACAGACACCCCCAGTGCGGTGCCCGGCAGCTCCGTACCTGTTGATCAGCGAGACGACTGCGGCAAAGAGCTCTTCATAGAGACCCGACGCCATCCCCTCCACGCACTCCACACCCGTCATCTTCGGCCCTGGCACAGGCAGAGAGAAGAGCAGGCAAAGCCACATCATTTATTTCCAGCTGAGTTCAGCCCACACGGAGCCGAGCCGGTAGCAGGGATTCCCTCGCTCACTGGGCAGGATAACCCACACGGCTCCCAGCCTCTGCCCACCAGGGACGGCATCGCTCCAGTTACACGAGCAGTGCGGATCTATGCGCCTGCCTTCAGCTCCTCTAGTGACTCCTGCCTACCATATATTTAAGAAATAAAACTATTGCCATGTTAAAGGCCAGTTCTGCAAGTTCTTGCTTTTACCAGAATAACTTGCAGGGCCCCAGCTGTAATTCTGCCACCGAGGACGAGTCGGGCATGGAAAGGCTGACCTTAAAGCCAGGCGGTATCTCACACCCTCCCCTGCCACGTGCATGCTGGATCTGCCTCTGTGAATTATATCCATATGTTAATTTGAGGTTTATAGTGGCTCAGCAGCAGTTTTTCCAGCAGGAGCACAACCCCCATCCATGACCAGGTCTCCTTCCAGGACACGGGTGCACACAGCACAACACCGGCACGGCTTCATTTGTGGGCACGGGGGAAGGATGCCCACCCTGCTGCCTTTCTGGTTTGGGGTTTTTCCCCCCAGTTTATAGGGAGAGCTCTCACAGCATTTAAGCCACATCACTTATCTGCCAGGGGCATTATCTGAATTCACCTGATCTTCATGTGTCCCTAAGGAGTGACCGGCAGGGTCAGCTGTAGAACTGAGGGTAGCTACATGACAGAGCACAGTTAATGATTTAATTAATATGAACTTACTTAAATGGACCTCACTGCCTGAAAAGAAAAGGGCATATTGCCTCTCCCTGCAGCACACCCTCCATCTTCTCCCCACGCAGGGTCCGGAGCAGTGCAGAGCACAGCATTTCCCTATCACCCATCAATAAAGGAAAAAGGGATGCAGCATCCCAGTACCTGCTGGGCTGTCCTCTGCCAGGGGCAGCCGGTGGCCCCGTGCCGTCACCTGCGCCAGGATCTGCTTCAGGTGGTGTTTGAAGACAGCGGTGGTGAGCTCCTCCACGTCGCAGCCCAGCACCTCTGCAGCGTTGTTCGCACACTCGAACTTCATGAACTGCTTCCTGCCAACTGGGGAGGGGGACACGGGGGGCACGAAAGCCTCAGGCAGAGCCAGCTCGAGCAGAGCCGGGTACAGGCTCAGCATCTCCGGCAAACATCCCTGCCCGCTCCCACATGCAACCCCCCAAAATCAAAATCAAAATAAAAGAAACCCCAGAAGGACTGCTGTTTGCGGCATGGGATGGGAAGGTGCGTGTGTGGGGGGGTGCTGTACCAGTCCACCCCAGTTTCCTTCCATCCCCTCAAGACTGCTGGATCAGCCCTTCCCTCGCAACCCTAAGGGGCAGTTTCAGACCCTGCACTGCCCTTGCCGACCTGCTCAGACCAACCGCCCTGCAGACCACAGCCTGGAAATGCCCTTTGGGCAAAGAGCTAGCCTGGGCAAAGCAGGCAGGAGCTGTGCCGGTGGGCAGGGAGGGGGCCTCTGCCCCCCCAGCAGCGCTTGGATGCTTGGCTGAGACAAGGATGCAAAACAGCTATAAATCAGCCCACATCAAAAGACGGTTTCCACCTTGAAGGCATGGCTGCCAAAAAGAGTTTTAGCATTACCTCACCGCCCATTTGCGTAACATCACTAACTGAACTGAAAAGCTTTTTCCTCCTTAGAGTCCATCTGCCGCCTCCTGCAACCCCTTCTCCTTCAGGGATGAGTCCCGCGTCTCTCTCGAGGCACTGGACCTGGTCTCAGTGGCCCGCTCGGCTCCCACTCCCGCAGTGTGCGGTACGTGGGGCTGTCCTCCCTACGCACATGCTTCCGCTAACAACAGCTGTAAGGATTTTCTCAGCTTTGCATGATACTTATCATATTAAAGGCTGGCTGACTCAAGAAAGTTTGACAGATATGTCCCTTGGGCAATCATTTAGCATAAGAGGACCTTTTTGTTTCGGTCAGAAGATAGTTCAAAACTTTAAGGATCTCAAACCAATGCTTTTGAACCTATTTTCCCTGCTATAGTGCTCCCCAGGTGCTCAGAGCATCCCACCTGCCCAGCGAGACCAGGCAGAGAGGAGACCTGCTCCAAGGAGATGGTCTGAGGCAATTCAGAGCCAGTCAGGAACGAGGTGGACCATGCGACTGACCCAGGCTGCTGCTGCCAGCACGGCATCAGTAACGTTGTGCATTTTAAGAGCTTCAGTGGAGCAAACTAGCAGATGTGTTGATGAAAGCTGATGGGATTACGAACCAATCCCTCAAAATCCCAGATCACCTTCCCCGGCCCCAGCAATGTTTGCTGTCCCCGTCAGCCCGAGAGCAGCGCTCCTCCCAGTGCTGTCAGCAAACAGAGCTGGCACAAATTATTTACATCCAGCAAGAGCAATTCCAGCTTAATGATTAAAATCAATAGGGAAGCAACCTGCAGGATAAATCCTTTTACAAATCCAGGAAGGAAAGGTGCTGCGGAGGCAGCCGGCCAGCGCACACTCAGAAACGCGGGGGGACAAGCAGAAACAGGAGCAGACGAACAAAGTCACCCAGAGACCTCAGAGTAGTGCTTTTAGGTGGTGATGGATGAGAAGCCAGCCCAGGGGCTCATGGCTAAGATGAGCCCTTAAAATACAGCAGGCGGCTGGTGGCAGGGGAGAGGGTTTAGGATGGAGAGGGGGAGATGGTCACATCCTGGCCAGCCCCATGGGGGACCAGGGTCCCCCACTCCCAGCCAAGGTGGTGCATAAAGGCCATGTTCCCCGGGGCCAGGGGGCTGCTTCACAGCACACTCATGAGAGTCATCCCCCCCTTTCCCTTCCCCTTTGATCTTTTCCCATTAATTTTTTTATTCTGACTGAAGGACTCCGACATCAAGGGCTGTGCTGGAGCAGACAGAGGAATTGCCTCAACAATCCGGGCTTTGATTTATTTTGTTTTCACTTCTTTTCATCTGAGCTGGCTGGACAGAGGCTGATCCCCGTCAGACAGAAGATCTCCGCTCGCTGCTGCATGCCAGGGAGCGGAGGGGCTGCGGGGCCAGGGCTGCACGGACTTGCCCTGTTGGCTGGGCTCCCACACACGGCATCCCGTGCTGCCCACTCCAGCATCCCACACCAGTCGCTCCAGCATCCCATGCTGGCTGCTCCAGCAGCCCTGAGATGAGCGAGGGGCTCTGCTCAGCCCAGCCGGCCGCAGTACAACTCTACCTGACGGAGCAGTTGCAAGTGGGGAAACAAGTGGCCCCCATCACACTGCTCCAGCGTGGCAGACGTCCTGCCGCGCCAAGCAGAGGGAAACAGCTCCGTGTTTCACACCTCCACAAAACCAAGCAATCGCTGACTGACTGGCACATGGTGTTGGAGGCTGACACGATGCTGCCCAGTGTGTTGGTACCCCCAGACATGCTCCTTACCCCTTCGGTGCTCCCCAAATTGCACCCTTGCTGTAAGCAGCTGGCGTGCACTGAGTCAGCAAGTCTGGGGGCACACAGCCACTTCTGCAAAGCCTGCTGTGCCTGTGGCTTGCCAGCGGATCTGCCCACCCCGCAGCCGCCAGCCCCCCGGCAGCCTGTCCTGGGAGACGCTGGGCACCATTTCACACTTCATAAAATATAAACAGCAGTAGCGGCATGCAGCCCTCCTGGGTGTAATGTGACCATTGTAAAACACACCAGCTTTAACACCTAAAAGGTAATTGCTTCGGCCCATTTAATATTTAAGAGAAGCAGTAGGAAAATACAGAGTCAGCACCAGCTTCGTCTCACTTGCGCACCCATGCATGCTGCCCGGGCAGCAGCTGGGTTTCTATTTTTTATTTCAATTCGGGAAGCATGGGGAGCAGCAGGGAAGCCCGGAGGGGCTGGACCCCACCCCCCGGTCCCCATCCCTGCTGCTACCCAGGCTGGTACCTGTGAGCCGACAGCAGCGGTGCCCGGGAGCAGAGGGGAGCTGCACCATGGGCCTGATGCTGGGATGGGGCAGCTCAGCCCCATCGCCAGCCCCCTTCCCGTGCAAGGCGTGCAGGTCGGCAGCCCTGTTCACCTGCCTTCCCAAGCCCCCCCTCCAGCTGCACGGGGGACGCTTTGTCAGCCTGCCCTTTTTCTTCCACTTATTTTGTCATTAAAACAATTGCACTATTAATGGGACAAATAAAAAAGCCCATTTGTTTCTCTTTGTTACCCTGGGAGGGGACAGGGAGAGAGAGGAGGCTCCTCCTGGCTTGAATGGTTAATTTATTTGTCCTGCACTAAATTCTCCAGTCTATTCTCTGTTGACCCATTACCTGATGTATGACATATTAAAGCCTATATATAACAAAGGGAAGAGCTGTGTAATAGCATGATTAAAGAAATCTGCCATTCTGGCTGCATTTCCCCAACTGTTTGTAATAAAGATGTCAGAGCGCGGAACAGATAGTGCCATAACTCGGTGTGCAGGGAGACAGCCCGCCAGGACCAGGGGCCATGGTGGTGATCGTAAAAACCTCCACGATGGAGAGGCAATGTCAACAGACACCAGCGTCCCAAGCCAGCCCCCCGACAAGCCGGCGGCAGCAGCAGCCAGGCTCCAGTTAGGACTCTGGCTATTCCCGGCATTTTCTGTTTCTGCTCTCCTGGCTTTGAACCCCAGACCACAGCCAAGACATGGAAGAAAACCAGCTCCTGCGCTGAGTAGGGATGCGCTGGGGTGCAGACCCCCCAACATCCCACTGCCCGCAGGGCTGAATCTCCTCCCCACTCCCTGCACAGGGCTTGAACTGCTCAAAACACCATTTCCAGCAAACCTCCTCATTTTGCAGACCCAGGCAGCAGACCATGAAGCTCTGCCCAATTCATGTTCCAAGCTGGGGTCTCCCTGCCCCAGGGTGGGGACGCATCACTCTGCCTAAATCCTCTTGCCTAGGGAAAAGAAATCCTAAGGACATCGTCCAGTGTACAGAGGCTTGTGGTGGGATGGTCACTGCATTATGATCCAGCCCCTGGAGACCACGTCGCCTTGGTTGAGGTCTTTCCCATGAAGCCATGAGGCTTCACCAGGACAAAACTGTTGCTCCTGAGGGTTGCAACTCAAGAAGCACAGAGAGGCACCATCCTACCAAAAACAAAACATGCAAAATCAGCTGCACTTCCCTCTATGGCAAGAAAACCCAGGTGTGAAAGAGCAAAAGCTTTAACAGAGAGAAAGAGAAAAAAATTGGCAAGATCAAGAGGCCAGCCCTAATGCAATCCTTTCCAAGAATCATTTTGATGAATGATGCAGGAAAGCAGAAGAGTCCTTCCCGGCAGGAGTGAGCTGGCCTTTTGCCCACCCGCAGCACAGAGCTATGGCAAAGCCAGTGATTTAACTACACCCAAGGCCACGGTTAGGCACCAGCCCCCGGACAGCTGCTCTGCAAAAGAAAAGCTAAGCTAAAGCAGGGGCAGAGGCTCCCTGTGCCGGGTCCTGCTCTCTCCTCTTCACCTCCAATGCCAGCAAGGCCATCGCAGCCAGTGCCGGAGGACATGCAAGTGGCACCAAAGCCACAAGCAACGATGCCTGAGTTGTCCTTGCAAACCCATGTCCTCTGCACTTGCAGGACCCCCAGGGAAAGGAGGGGCTGCAGTGGGCTCCCCCCACACAGAGCAAACTGCAAAGGCTTACGCTCTGCAGGCAGGTATCGGAGAGCATTGCAAGGTGGAGTTGCTGGAAGAGGAATGATCAGCACACGGCTTCGTGATGTTGCTTTATGCAATTTAGTGCCCAGCCCCCTCTGTGCTCCTCTCCTGAAGGCAGCCCACGCGATGCCGGAGCACCGGGCTTGGACTGCGCCGGCAGCAGTACCGCAGCTCCATCCCCCCCCGCCCACCACACTGGAGCCACTGGCGCATCTTTCCCTCTGCAACAGTGACCACCCCAGGGACAGATATATTTGTCACAAAAGGGAAACTGTGGAGCAATGCTAATTACAGATACGCTGTTCCTCCTCCTTTTAGCAACAGGCAGCAATAAAAAGTTTGGGTAAATCTGGGCACTGAGCTTGGGTGGAACTAAGAACAAACTGTCATTTTCACATCAATTAAGGAAAGGTCACTACATCTCAGAGGCTGTAAAACAGCAGCAATAATGCAGGTTTAAGGCTTTTTCTCAGCTCTGGTGAGAAAGCAATAAGTCACCCGACTCCATTCCTGATTGACATCTACGCTCAGGAAACTGCATAATTAATGCCAGTTGGATCCTGCCAGGTCCTCTCCCTCTTACATTTTGATGGACGTCCCCATTACTGTACTTGGCTAAATGGCTTCCAGCCCTTCTGGAAACTTGCCACTTCACAAAGCTAAAAGGGTGTTCAAGGGGGTTTCATCCCTGCTGCTCCTCCCAGCCCCATCTGCAGACCCTGGAGAGACACGGCAGAGCACTGCACACCGGCACGTGAGACCCCGGGCTCAGCCCCTCCTTCTGCTCCAGCCCTGCATGACCCAGGCCCATCTCACAAACCGCTGGACGCCTCTGTTTCCTGGGTTCGAAATGGGGATGTTCCTTCTCCTGCCTCCCAAGGGTGCGATGCTGCAGTGGTGGGGCTGTGCGGGACACAGCCTGGGCCGTGGCAGCCCACAGCTGCCAGCGGCTCGGGCACCAACCCCATGCGACTTGCTGGCTCCCATCCCTCTGCCATTGGAGCCGCTGCTGCGCAGAACCAGCCCGGACGACGCAGCGATGCGGGAGGGCAGCAGATAGAGGATGCTGCCCTGGCACTGCCAAGCTCACAGGGTTTGGGGGGGCTCGGAGCCTCCCCTGCCTGAGCAGAGGCTCCAGCTCCCTCCTCCTGCACTTCTGCCCTTATGGGTTTCCTCCATCCAAGGGGTTCAGGCCACCGGTTTTGCAGAAGCCTCTGCTGTGCTGGTGCACGGGGAGGGGGGTTGGGGGTAGCCACGCTTGGCTCCCGGCCACGGCGCACACCCGCCTGCGGCACCCAGTCGCCTCTATTAAAGATGCGCGGTGGGAAGCCCGTAGAAAGCAGGGAGCCGTGATGCTTTATTTTTATAACAGTCAGCAAAATGGACAGCTTGAGAGCAAGCTGAATGCCGACCCCCAGCTGTGCCCAAAACCTCCTTCCCAGTTAAAGAGGCAATGAATAAGTGAAAATATGTAATATTCTGCAGCCCACAAAGGGGACTGGAAGCACTTAGGTGAATGGGTACCTAGGATGCCCCACTGGCCTCTGCCTTTCAGGCTGCTTTCTCACAAAAAGAGCCGTGCTAACATGTTTCAAAGGTAATGGGAAACGCTGACACCAGGACAGCGCAGGCTTTTGAAATTCAACCTTTTCTTCTCGGTGTTTTTCTAGCTGCAAATGTATTTTCCACTCTCAGCCAGAGAGAGGTGGTGCTATTCCCTCCTGTTTTATTCCTGGACAAACTGAATTTGTGACAAGATGATAGCCATCAGTGGAAGGAAGAAAAAGTTGCATTTAACCTGTGTTGGGGCCCAGCTGCTGGAGCACAGCACATGCCGGGACCGCAGTGTCAGGGATGGCGGTGGTGGAGGCTGCGATGGCAGCTGCAGCGCCTGGCTGCACTCCTGAATGCCAGTGAAAAACCAGTGATGAGGCTCCCCTTGGTGAGATTTCAAGGCGAGGATTTTGAATATACAACTTCAAAGTGCATGAAAGGGGAAGGGAAGAGATGGCTATCAGGAGACAGGTTTAACCACATTAAAAGAGTCATCGCCCCCACTGAGACTTTTGCTCCATCCAGCTTTGATCCATTTTTTATCCATATTTCCTTTCATTTCTCCCCTTTTGTTGACGCACGATGGGGGAATCAATACCAGAGCGAGTGATGCTGAGACATGCTCTGATTGTTAATCCTGTACCCAAGTCTGCTCTGAAGCCACAGCCCTGCCTGGGCTCGCTATTAACATTCCTATTTGTGCTGAAATAATTGCGACAAGATTTCTTGAATATAGCACTCGATGCACTTCTAGACTGACTTACAGGGTGCTTGGGACAGAACATTCAGTAAGTTTGAGCAAACCAGCTCAGCTCACCCAGCAAAGCCTCTGTGGCCAGCACAGTAACTGTCCCTCCATCTGCCTTTCAGCTGGTCACTCTTAAAATGACACACGTCTCCAAAATCTGCTCTCCTGAAAACTCTCATGGCAGAAGGACTTTCTTTTTTTTTTTTTTTTTGCCAAGAGCCTTATCACACACTTCAGCCTGAGACAGCAGGGTCATTTTTTAAAAGTTGGAAGGGCATTAGGGGAGATGGAGATGGGGAAAGAGAACACCAGAGAGAAGGAGGAAGAGAACTCACTGTAAGTGATGACAGCATTCATCCTTTTAAAATAATTAATAAATGATTAATGGCATAAATTACCATAAGATGTGTTATGACATGTTGCAGAGACTTTTATAAATGTCTATGGCTTAGTTTATAGCAGCCTTTATGCAGCCCTCATAAATTGAAGTGTGTAAATCAATGTGGCTGTCTCTAAAACGGGTTAGAGCACATCTTAAAATAATTTATAAGGGATAAGGCAATTTCTATATGCCTGTATTAACAAAGTCTTTATAAATACAATCTTCATCCAGACTCATCCTATTATAATTCAGTTACTGTATTAGGCACTCAAGAGATGATAAAATTACTGCTACCTGAAGCTGTCCCTTCGTGGTGTCATTGGGGACAATGTGCCAACAAACAAGTTACCTACCCCGTCCTTCCCACAGAGCTGGCACAAGGTGACGACTTGCAGCCCCCATCCTGTCCGCACACGACCGGGGAACGGACCCTCTCCAGAAGCCCCCACGGGGCAGGATGCCAGCACGCAGCATCGCCCCACTCAAGGCAGCTCCTCCACGGGCAACGAAGAGCTCAGAGCCACGGGCCGTGCAACAGCCTCCAGGCGAGCATCACTCCCACACACCTCCCCGTGTGCAACGCGCCCAAGCACAGTGCACCGCTGGGATGTGCTTCTTCACCCTCCTCTAACCCCCAGCACCAAGGTGAGGTATAAAGAAAGGAGAAGCAGGAGCCCCCTTTACCTTTACAGGCGCCGGCGGCTCCCAGGTGGTAGATGCCGGCTAAGACGCGCCAGATGGCTGCCTGCTCCTCCGCCGTGATGCCCAGCGTGCCCATGGCAGCCCGGAGCTGGGCAAATGCCACCGAGGCTTTCTGCTTCTCCTCAGGCTGCAGGTGGAAAGAGATGGGAAGGGAGATGTCACTGCCTCTGCCGGAGCATCCTAGGCACTGGGGACAGGGGGATACAGGGATACACGGGGGGGGGGGGGGGGGGGGGGGGAAAGAAACACA